TATATATAGTTTATTTATATATATTTATTGTCCCCACATGAAAAGCTACACCTTAACTTAAAAAGTTTGTTTACATGACTAAGTCTTGGCTAAAGGAAAATCAAAGATGCGATCATTTTTAGTACTCTGATTTTATGAATGAGAAAGTCTTTTTGGGACTGTATATGTAATAGTGAGTTAGTATTATATTTACAATTTTTAGTATGTTAGCTGAATGTGTGAGGATGGGGAGGTATTGAGGATGTGCTAGGATATTAATGTAAATTTGGGGGTTGCAAGGTTATTTTAGAATTTGTAGAGAGGAAAATGTTTTGTATTTATATTGAATCTATATTTTTTAAATTGTTCATATTTTAATGTATAGTTTTATATGAATTTGGAGGTCTTTAGGTTGATTACATGAATATGTAAGCAGGAATACGTAGGTATTCTTACTGTATTTTGATTGATTAATTGTATGTATTTTAATGTGTAGAAATGCCCATCCAGGGACTGGAGTTGCGAATTAGCTATAGTTATATAGTCTTTGTGCAACGCATCAGTCACTTGTTCTGTTCTGTTTGTGCGCATTGTCCCTGTCAAATAAACTAATAAATAAATAAATAAATCATGTAGTTTATTTATATCTATTTATTTATTTATATAGATTATGACCCGGGAAGCAAACTGGCAACCACTGTCAAAATAAATAAATAAAATTAATAATAAAAAAATAAATAAAAACATGCTGCCGCTCCAACATACTTGGAATAAATAGATACAAATCTGGATTATTGATAGGGGAATTGAAAAAAAAAAAAAAAAGACTTTTAAAAAGCACAGTAAAATTCTGAAGGGGTACGGAGGCCCCGAGGGGACATCGGGGATTTTGCGTGGAAACTTTTGCAAAGCTTTTGTGTGAGAACGCACAAACTTTGGCATGGGAACGCAATAGCATTGCGAGGGAACGCAACAACTTTTGCGTGGGAACGCCTAAAGAATAATAATAATAATTTAAAAAAAACTAATGTCCCCTTGTGGGCTCCGTAAAATAGCCCTTTTATAGAATGTTGCATTTTTTTATATCACTTTTTGCGCATACATTAAAGCAAAAATAAAATACAATAATATATAGTAATTTTCTGAAAACATAAAATAAAAAAAAATAAAAAAATTCTAGTTAACGTTTCAAATGTATTTTCTTGTTAAGTTTCGAGTCCTTGATCTATTTATTTAGCGCTGTCCCTTTAAATGAAGCTCGCTTCCAGTGCGCATGCGCAGACTGTGTTTAGTTTTCTCAACCTGAGGAAGAACTGTCTGCTGTCGCCGCGCTAGCAGGACGACTGCTGTGTGTTGTCATGATTTAAAAGGAAGGAGACTTTTTCCTCCCCCCTGTTGGAGTACAGAGGAGACAACACGGAACCCTTGCCGACAGAGAAAGCTTCGCCTGAGGACCGTGGAGGCTGACTATTCGGACCAACAACAGTTGGAAGTGTTTGCTCAGTTACCCTTCCCAGTAACCAAGGCAGGACTAGCGGTCCAGCTCCCACATCACCCCGCCGAACTCATCCACGTTGACTGCGGCAGGCTGCTCTCACAGTCCGGGGAGGGCTCTTTGTTCGTGTGCGGGAGAGCTCCGGTTCAACCGTAGCATAAGCTTCTTTTAATGACCCCCGTGTGTTCCAGTTTTCATCGCAGCTTCAGTTTAAAGTAGCGTAAAATGGCTGCTGAAAGGGGGAAGAAATGGTCTTAAATCAGTGCAATAACATAGTCACCCCGCCGAAAACGAAACAGCTAGTTAAAGGCTACTTTGGCTAACGAATTATGAATTAGCCCAACAAGTTAGCTGCTTAAAAAAAAAAAAAGAAGCTTTTTTAATTGATGTTCGGATATTTTAGGAAGGTTCTAACAAGACAAGAGGCAGGGTGAGGGATAAGCTTTAGTAAACGTTAGGTAACTTTAGCTATTTTACGCTCACTTGCGCGTTTTAAACAGGCTTAGCTAAGCAGTATGTCGAGCACTCTGTTAATAATATGCAGGACTTTGTTGTTATAAAGGAAATCTGAGAGCCCCCCCCCCCCCCCCCAGCGGATCTCAAGGCCCATCCAGGTCTTGTGCTCGGTCGACCTGGCGGAATATAACCAAAAAAGATGGATCGTGGGGGAAAACGTCCGAGCAGACTCTTCCTTTTCGGACCCAAACTAGCCGCCGGCGGCGCCGACTCGAGGGACATCAACAAATACTTGGTGGTGTACGTTTTGTTCTCCTTCGTGCTGGTCGCGCACGCCTCTCCGGCGAAGCCGTGCGACAAGAACTGTCTGTCGGGGAAATGCATCAACGGCTCCTGCGTCTGTGACCGGGGATGGGTGGGAGATCTGTGCCAGCACTGCCAGGGGAGGTTCAGGTAGGTGCCCACCCCCGCTCTCTGCTTCCATCTACTGATCTGGGTCTAAATGTGACCTGAGGATATGTAGGTTAGCAGCCCTGCAAGGCACTGTTTTGGTTTTAACAGCTGTGTGAAGAAGACGGGTTTTCATCATGCTCATTATATGTTGGCACCTTTTCAGAAAACTTGAGCACAAAACTTAACAGCAGGGGTTTATGCATCCATACAACTATTTTGACTGAAAACCAGCACGATGCACTGTTTATTATAGTTTATTCTCCAATGGCTCCCTGTCAAATTCAGAACGGACATCAAAATCTTATTGCTAACCTACAAAGCCCTCAACAACCTAGTGCCAACTTATATTACAGATCTTATTGTTCCATATTTTCCCAACAGAGCACTTTGGTGTCAGACTGCAGGCTTACTCGTGGTTCCTAGAGTTTCCAAAAGCAGAATGGGAAGGAGATCGTTGAGTTATCAAACTCCTCTCTTGTGGAACCAACTTCCAGTTTCTGCCCGTGAGGATGACGTATTGTCCAGTTTGAAGACTGGGCTTAAGACCTTCCTTTTTGATAAATCCTATAGTTAGGATTGGCTTGTTATGCTGCCATAGGATTAGACTACTAGAGGACAAACTGACATCCATCCTTCCATCCATTCATTATCTTTTACCCACTTTTTCCATTTTGGGTCACGGGGGTCGCCGGTGCCCATGTCCAGCAATCACAGTGCGAGGGGCGAGGTACACCCTGGACAGGTCACAACTCCATCACAGGGACATATCGAGACAAACAACTCTCACTCACACCTAGGGACAATTTAGAGTTACCAATGAGCCTAACATGCATGTTTTTGGTTTGTGGGAGGAAACTGGAGCACCCTGAGAAAACCCACGCATGCACGGAGAGAACATGCAAACCCCACCCAGAAAGGCCCCTGGACTGGGATTTGAACCGGAAACCTTGTCGCCGAGAGGCAGCAGCTCTACCAGTTGCGCCACCGTGCTGCCCCACATTGACCTCATTTCCTTAAATGATTTGTTAAAAGTGAATAGCTTTCATTTGATACTATTTCTATATTAACGTGATTCTTGACCTGCCATTGTGTATCTATTCCTCCTTCCTGTTCCTCTCAAACTCAATTGGTCGAAGCAGATGGCTGCTGATCCTGAGCCTGAATTTTTCCTTTCCACTGTCGCCTTCATGCTTGCTTAACATGATAGTTCTGTGATGGGGGTAAATTCAAAGCAGTCTGCTCCACAGATAAATAGTGTTAACTTATTTTTTTTATTTGAATGTTTCTGTTCAGTGCCCTGAGATGACTTCTGTTGTGACTTGGCGCTATATAGATAATCAAACCTTTTTAAAAAGAACAACAACAAACTATAAAGGTGCTAAATAAATAGTTTACAGTAAGGTTTTATCATTGCATTTTTTTAGTACAGCAATATATAAAGTTCCAGTCCAAAAATCCACAGTGAACTTTAGTTTGTGTCTTGAGAAATGCAATGAATCATGTTGGCCTCTGCTGCCATTTCCCCCTTAAAAACTACAATAACCTTATATCATAAAAGTAAATTCTTCCAGGGTTAGAGCATTTGATGATGAAGTTAGCCAGGCTTGCAGACTACATCTGTTTATAGATTTCCATGGATTAGCCCTGTTGAGTTTGGCTTGTAATCAGCAAGAGACTATTATTTCAGATTAGAAGTTTCATATTCAAGACAGGAAAATCAATGACTTGATGTACCCTCACTTCTCTAGAAGACAAAAACATCAAGTACTCACTCTGAGAGGGGTTTAAATTTTGGCTTTATGGTAGTATTGAGGACAATTCTCAAGCTCCATTAGGGAATAAAAAAATCATGCATGGTGTGAGGACTTCAACAGTAGATTATCAGTTGTGGCGTGTCCAAAAGCCTATTGGAAAGGCACATTTTTAGATTAATCCAATACTAATGAGGACACGCATAACTCAGACATCCAATCCCAACATCCAAACTCTAGTGCTCAATGTGCAGCAGAAAGCACAATAATTTATTATATATGAAATCCCCACAAATTTGGTCTATTGGGAAAGAAGTCCTGTCTATGTGCAAAACTGTTAATGCTGAATGTTTGTGAAATAAGGTAAACAATGTTTGCACAGGTACTTGACTGCTTTTTCTGTGCACATCAATCAGTTGCAGTAATTAAAAAGTGGGTGTTTTTTCACATGTTCGGATTATTTTGTTTACTGTGTGTGCCAATAGTTACATCAGATCCAAAACTTGTTTCCAACTTGACTGTCAGTAGGTCCTAAAATCTTTTTTATCCTCATTTTTATTGTGCGTAATAAGATCCTGTACACAACGGGAGAAAGTGATTTGTGTCCTTATCTGCACGAAAGCAAATTTTCCAGCCCAATAACACTTTCCTGTGTACAGTACTGCACTGGTATATTGACTCCAAGTCCCCCCAGTATTTGTAAAGAATTTCAATAAAACCCACAAACAGATGAATTATTTTGCTTTCACAACAAGAGAAATCCTACAGTGGATTTGAGAAAACATCACTAAGCCACATGATTTAACATAAACCCTTCTACTCTTGCAGTTAAAGCTTAATCCTCTTAAGGAGGAATGTATAAACTTTATGCTTACCATATTGATGATAATTGACAACTTGCATGTAAAATGCAAATGGTGAATGCAATAATGAAATAAAAAGAATGCGTAATATTTGACAACAGCGGTGGCAACTTTAACAGGAGCCAGAGTAGTAGTTGATGGCTCAGAGGTAACTCCACCATGGTAACCAGTGCTCAGCGTTTCTGAGGCTTGGTGCTGGTTGTCATCAGGTATGTTGTTGAGGAATAACATCTCATCAGCAACAGATAAGCTGCTCAGCCATGATGAGGAATGAAACTTAAGCTCCAGGCGTGTCTGGAGGAGGGACGTGCACCTTTGAAACTGAGATCTTTTACACATAGCCGTGTGGAAATTCAATCTTTATTGACTTATTTATTGTGTGTAGGGTGTTGTAGTGTAACAGACTCAGAGGTCACCATGAAAAATGTATTCTTCGGACCAGTCACAGGCAACATCCAATAAACTTTTAAACTTCACCTGTTTTCTCATCAAAGTTTAAACTGTAAATGTTCATCTCTACGAGACAAGTTAGTCTTAATTGTAGTTAGAGCACTAACGATTGTTCGTTAGACTGATGGTCCTCCTTTATCATGTGAACAGCTAGTTCTGGATGTCAGCAACAGACTGGTTGATCCACTATGAGAAGGTGCTGTTTATAAGTCTGAGATTATTGCAGCTCCTCAGACTGGCAAAGTCTTTTTGGATTAAAGACAAAATATTAAAACAAGTTTTAATTTTTTTAATTCATTCAGAGGACTTGGCCTAGCTTTGTTAGATTTTTCTACCTGGATTATTGAGCATGTATCAGGATTTCTCTGTGTGTTGTGTTGTTTTGATCTTGAGGTCATGTGCATACCTTTAGAAACTTTGGCAGCCACGATTTATCTTTTATCCATAAATGTGTGAGGTAAAAACAGTTGCGTTATAAATCAGGGACCCAAAGGGAACACAGATATGCTCCTGCTTGTCTTAGACAAGCCTTGAGAGCTTGGCATGTATTTGCTATAGGAACAAGATTACGGTAAGTCAGTCCTCTGGATGGATTCTTCTTGAAATGTTTTGTCTTTTATCCAAAAGACTTCAGTCTGAGGAGCTGAAATAATCTCAGTTTTATAAACAGCACCTTCTCATAGTGGATCAACCAGTTTGTTGTTGACATCCAGAACTAGCCATTCACATAAAGAAGGACCATCAGCCTAACAATTGCTCGTTAGTGCCCTGATGGCCACTTGCTATTCACAGTGGGCTGAGTGATATATACCTGATCACCTGTGGTCACGTATACAAGAACCAATTATCAGGGCACTAACGATCAATTGTTAGGCTGACGGTCCTCCTTTTGCACATAAACTGTTTTTTTTTCATTCATTCATTCAACCTTTATTTATACAGTCTAGTCTCATTGAGCCACGATGACTCGTTTTTAAGATGGACCTGTTCCAAACAGAAGATGTATAAAGTACAGACAACAATAACTGTAAACAATAACAATAAACTGCAGTAAAAATGCAGTTAAAATAAGAGTATGAGTTTTGAGCATGCATCAGGATATTGAGCATGCATCAGGAAAATAAGAGTAGTGTATAAAACGATAAAACTGTGAAATACTAAAAACAAGAACATTTTTGCTTTGATTTTTCTATTGACATTATAAAATGTTTGAAACCCCTTAAAGAAATCAAGGTGGACAACTTCAGTTCTTGTTACAAGGTGTTCCAGGTGCAGGAGCTGAGCATGAAAAGGCCTTTTTGCCAAGTTCAGTCCACACTGAGGGAACGCTGCAGGTAATGATGGCCTGAGAGCGCATGTTGTAACTGCACTGACGACGTGACATGTGGGAGGAGATATAAGAAGGTAGCAGACCAAGGAGGGATTTATAGATGAAGACGAACCAGTATGAGAGTCTACGTGTAGATAATGATGACCAACTGAACAAGGAGTACAGGGTGCAGTGATGGTACGGTAGTTACAGCCAGTTGTGAATCTTAGCGCACCATGGTAGACAGCATCCAACATGTGCAAGTATTTGGCAGGGGCATTCATGTAGATAATGTCATCATAGTCGATGGCCAGTACAAAGGTAGTGGTCACAAGGCACTTTCTGTCATTCAGAGTTAAGCAAAATCTATTTCTGAAGAAGAAACCCAGTTTTAATTTAAGTTTCTTTATCAAGTTTTCGATTTGTGGTTTAAAAGAGAGAGGTGCATCAACCCAAATTCCCAAGTATTTGTAAGAATCTATAAACTCAATAGGAACACCATGCATGGATGAGATAGGAGGAAGAGTTACTGGTTTCAGCAGACTAGTTGATCCACTATGAGAAGGTGCTGTTTTGTTGCAGCTCCACAGACAGATGAAGTCTTTTGGATAAAAGATGAATTGTTTCAAGAAGAATCCATCCAGAGGACCTGACTCAACATTGTTAGATTTAGCTACCTGGATTATTGAGCATGCATCAGGATATAGAGGAACCAGTTTGTCTTTGCTTTCATGCAGCTGGCCCCATATTGTTAAATTTAACAGATTCTTACTTTTTGGGCCAGACTTTTACACTCGGACAAGTTCTACAAAGTAAAACGACTGTTTTAGCAAAACGGGAAATTCTTTAGTGTCATATAAAAAAAAAAGCCAAATGTTTGTTTGAATGCTTTCTGCCATTCTGAGACACTACTGTGGCACTTCACACGAAGAGTACTCTTTATGGAAGTGATCGCTTTCTGTTAAAAACATAATTTCACTGACCATTCTTTAAAAGAAGTTAATGTTACAATTGGATTTTGACCCTTTTTAATGTTTAACGAGCCCTTTTTCATTTAGTGGTTTTCGATGGCGTGCTTTAATCGCCCACATGTTTTAATAATAAAAATGCTGGTATGAGTTGACAACGCACTGAGTAGTATTTAATAGGTTCAAGATGAGACCAAACTTATGACTCTTGTTGATTTTACATGCAGTACTTAGAAATGTGTTAAATGTCAGGTATTAAGTTATTGTGTTTCTAATCTGGTGTGTGTTTAAAACAGACACCACTTCCAGAAACGAAGTGATCTTTTTCTCAGCGAGTACAAAAGAGTCCAAACAGCACAATACCTCACTCATCATCACTGAGTCACCAGAACCGCTCACTAGGAGTGTTAACATTAAAACATTTCCACCTGTTCTTTACCAGTTTCTACATGACAGTGTAAGTCATTTGATATTTCTTAAATTTAATCTTTTTTTTTCAGATTGACAGAACCTTCAGGATACCTCACAGATGGTCCCATCAACTACAAGTACAAAACAAAGTGCACCTGGCTCATTGAAGCTTAGTAAGTACTTATATTTGTACTAAACGTTTCACTGAAAATGAGCATTTACAACCAAATGTACATCTGACATACTTAGTATTAATTTGTTTTAGCGTAAGCAGCCTGATACAGCTGCTTAGCATCACGTTGCTTAAACAGTGAAATATAAAGGCGAGTGTAACGCTTTGAAGGCCGAGTGCGTTTGTTTATGGATCTGCGTTTCGTTGCAATATTTTCATAATGTAAAGCAGAAAGAAGCCACTTTTTTCATTCAGCTTTTTATCTTTGAACTCGTTTTAATTAAGAAAAATCATCTCAGAATTTTTAAATACTTGTATGTTTGACAATTAGGGATGTTTTCATCGATTGAAAGAGTAACTAATAGGCCTGTTGCAGTAAACAATAAATCAATTAATTGCATGATAAATGAAAGTTATCGATCTCATTTCCATTTATCGGCTTTATCGTTTCTTCGTGTCTCTCTCAGTACTGAAGACACCGGATGACAAAAGGCTCAACTCCGGTGCTCTTCACTGACCCCTCCGTTTCGCTTTTCTCTTTAAAATCCATTTTAACCGTCCAAAATCGTGTTTTTTGATCGTTAAAAGCAGATAAACTGAGAAGCTAAGCTACGAGCTAAGCTAACAGGCCGATCTCGGGGGGAAAAAAACCTCTGTCTTGTCGATGCTCCTAAATTCACAGTTGAAACCCATGCCTGCTCGCTCCCTCACTATCCATCCTTCGGTTCAGTCTTATACTGCCATCCAGTGGTCAAAAAAGGTTCTACACGCAAAACAAATTAGCAAACATTTCTTCTTAAATTTGACTATAATTACTAATTGCTGTCAAATTTCAAACAATATTATCGTTTATCGCAATAATTTCGGATACAATTAATCGCCCAGCAAATTTGTTATCGTGACAGGCCTAGTAACTAGAAACATTGCATTTTATGTACTAACTGCTAAATGGCTTTGTTGACATTTTCTGGAGGATTTGAAATGGAGTTATTAACACTAAAGCATTGGCTAAAGGCTAAACGTATCAAAACATTAGCTAAAAGCCAAAAGTAGCAGAACAGTAGGTAAAACTTAAAGTAGCTGAAGCAGATTCTAAAAGAAGTATGTTTTAAAGGAACTGAAACAATCAGTATTTGCACTCATCTGTTTGAGTTGAATGCAATAGTTCAAAGTATGCAGAAGTAGATTGCAACAAACGTACGAAAAATTAAAAATAAACTGATACAGTTGTGCGAAAGCTAAATCAGCATTTAGACCTGGAACAAACAAACTGCATTTTATAACTACTATTTTTTCATTACATGATTAAAATTTATTAGCATTAAAACCCATTTTTCAAATAGTCAGGCTTGGAAAAAAATATAAGGACATGTATGTCACGTCAGGTTGCAATGCATTAAACGTTACCATTTAGTTTAGGCTTCCTGCTGTTTTGAAAACCTGAATGACATGAAGGTGTAAATGTTCTTCCACGTTACTCAAACATTTTTTTTTTTTTGTTTTTCTCTTTCTTCAGCCCAAATGCAGTTCTGAGGTTAAGGTTCAACCACTTTGCCACAGAGTGTAGTTGGGATCACATGTACGTCTATGATGGAGACTCTGTGTACGCTCCTCTGATTGCTGTCTTCAGGTGAGAATCTCCAGAGGGAGTGAATGTTTTTTTTTATTTTTTAAGTTAGACTTTATAGTGTGTCATGTTTGATGTCATAAATGTGAAACCTCTATTTGTTTTGAACAGTCAATAAATATAAAAAAAATCAATCATTGGCTCTGCCAGAACACACTAGTTAGACCTGAAAGGAGTCACTGTGTGTGTTTTGCTGCTCTGACTGGATTATTATTACTGCTTTAGGCTTGTTATAAGTTTTAATAAAGTTATGTCAATATCTTTTTCTGATTATTTCCACAGCGGCCTCATTGTTCCAGAGATACGAGGTAACGAGACGGTTCCTGAGGTGGAGACAACTTCAGGCTACGCATTGTTACACTTTTTCAGCGACGCTGCCTATAATCTAACAGGATTTGAAATATTCTACTCGTGAGTGTCTTGGGTTCAACTTTGGCTTATTTTAAACTAGTGGTCAGCCAAGTTGTAACCTAAGCATTTTTTTTTTTCAGGATTAACTCTTGTCCCAATAACTGCTCTGGTCATGGGAAATGCACCCCAGGAAACTCAGCTGCCAGCAGAGTCTACTGTGAGTGCGACAAGTACTGGAAAGGCGAGGCCTGCGACATCCCTTACTGCAGGAACAACTGCGGGAGCCCCGACCACGGCTACTGTGACCTCACCGGAGAGAAACTGTGTGTTTGTAATGACAGCTGGCAAGGTAAGAGGAAGCCCGCCCCCACCCTCAGAGTTTTGGAAATGTTTATCAAGCCTTATATAACAACAGTTATGTTGAAATCATATTAAAAAAGTTTTTTCAATGTATTTTACTATTGGAGAGAGGTAAAATCTGTTTTTGGATGTATCAAAGTGTGGACTTGGAAGAGTCTGAATCAAATTTTAAATGTCAAAAGTGTTAAAGTTATTCTGTGCTGCCACTTTAAGAGAATCAGCAGAGTAGTAGCTGCACGGTGCTATTTGTCCTTGTGTTACTGCAGCTTTCTGTAGTTGTAACATGTTGCAGTAAAGCTTCATATTTTCACATCCTTTTATCTTTTTCTTTGCTGAACCCTGAAGAATAAATCTGTAAATAATAGTTGAAGTGATAATAACATGAATGTCTTTAAAACTGTCTTTGAAATGTTTGATTTGTGTATAAAGTTCCAGTGATAAACACAACACTAATGGCAAATACCGTATTTTCCGGTGTATAAGTCGCAGTTTTTGCATAGATTTGTCAGTCCTGTGACTCCTATGCCGAAGCGACTTATATACGCTTTTTTCCCCCCATATTCATAACGCAATTTTTGACTGCCACTTTAAATTTCGAAGAACTGCAACAGCAAATCCTCACGTGCGCTCGCTTTACTCAGCTGCGGAGGAACGCTGGAGAGCTAGCAGCTCTGGCTGCGATGGATGGATCTGTGGATGGCGCTGCGCCGCCCAGGCGAAATGAAGCTGTTTTGACCATTAAATTGCATTTATTAAAGAAAAGTTAAACTGAGACACACCTTTGCTATAATCAGTCTGTCAATCAATCCAGTAGGCGTGTCAGCAAATGACCAATCAGCAAACTCAATTTGTCCTGAAGGTAAACGCCCCTTGCCCTCAGAGCTGGCTGCAGCCGCTCAGGGTGGACGCTCACGTAATTGTTCATCAGCAATCTGTATTTATTTATTTTACTTATTAGTGTTATAAGGCATGAAATTATTTAAATCAGTGTTTATGTAAAATAAGTCATAGTATTTTAAGTTTCAAGAAAATGAAAATGTATTGATAATCATTTTGCATCACTGCTGTCTAAATTGTAATTGGATTGAATTGAGGTGCTTAAAGATTTTCATCTGACAGTATAAAAATAACCAACTCTGTAACCTACTTGCTGAGAGGCAGCAGCTCTACCAACTGCGCCACCGTGCTGCCCCTAAATTTTCCAATATAACTGATTATCAGTGGGACATCCTGGACAAACAAATCCAGATCTTAAAGATTTTCTGACGTCTTGGTGCCACTGCGAATCTGCCAAAGCTCAGCAGAACCTTTAACTCAGTGGATCAGGGCCTTTTGTTTGAGAAAAAGAAGGTATCTACTCCGTATTAGGCTGGTTGTAAAAATGCCATCTATGACTGATTGGTGTTTATATAACGGCCAATAGCTTACAACTCATCATCTGAAAGCACCGACTGAGTGTTTGTAACTTGCTTCCAAAGTCATTCATTATAAAAACATTTCCTCTTTCACTCCTGTGATGGTTATGTTGGGAGACAGAATGAAGGACGTGCTATCTGACAAGCTAGAACAGCTGTGCTGTGTTATGTCACACTGTAATACTGATTGGGAACATGTCAATAAGCCCTATGAATGTGCCTTATTATGGTTCTCCAGCTGGAGGAAACCATAACCATCACATGCTATTGCAGAGTGAAACTTGACAGCAGCACTAGTAGATGCTTGTTCTTTTTTCTCCACTGTCTCCACTGAGTTGCTTTATTATTTTGGCACCTCCTTGTCTTGTCAGTTTTGCTTATGGTATGATGATGTAAGAGAGGCATGCAGTCACAGTCAATTATAATAATGATATAAGGCTGAAATATATCATTAAAAGATTAACAAACAGGTAGATATTAGGCTTAGAGCTTGTATTAAGAGAACTGCATTGTTTGTATATTTTTTTTTAAACTTTCCTCTCCAGCTGTAATTTCTTTTCTTGTTCCTGCAGGCCCAGATTGCTCACTAACTGTACCTTCAACTGAGTCTTTCTGGGTCCTGCCCAGTGTCAAGCCTTTTGGCACCTCCCTTGCCAGAGCTTCCCATAAAGCTGTGGTGCAGGAAAAGACCATGTGGGTGGTGGGTGGCTACACCTTTAACTACAGCTCCTTTCAGATGATTCTTAAGTAAGTCACATTTACTTCAGCGTTTTTTGTTTTCTCTCTGATTCAGTTTATCCTTAAATGTTTTTTTTTAATATAATTTGTGATGTCTCATTGCAAGAAATTAAAGTATAGAACAGCTAAACTTTCTCAGCTTTATAATCGTGCATTGTTTCTGTAAGTTACTTTATGTATGCATAGGTTTTTACTTTGAATGCACGTTGAGGGTGGTACTATTTTAAGATCTCTGTATAAACTAGGGATGCGCAATATTGGATTTTTGTCCGATATGCCAATTTGTTCAAATTTATTTGGTCTATAACCGATACCAATACCGATATTTTCCCCCCTAGACTTACTTACAGAGCTTTCTCTGCTGTGGAATTAAAATACTACATTATTCTTCATGATCTTTGTCAGTTTGACCTGCTACCAAGTGCAGATTCCAAAAAGGGGACTGAAAATGATGTAACTCTTCAACTTGGATTATGTTTAATGTCAAATTTATTCATGACATTTACTCTCTCTAACACAAAGACAACACTCAGTGCAAATCTGTACATTTTCACAAATCTAAATTCAGCCTGTTCTCAAGCGACAAGTGAAAAACGCATTAGTGGTAGTGCATTAATAGATATACTTGACAGTTTCTTAAATTAAAAAAATTAACTTAAAACGGAAGCCTTTTATATCGGTGAGTTATTATGATGGAATGGCCAATGTCCGATATTTAACTTTATCGCTAATGTCGGCCGATACCAGGCCGATAATATCGAGGATCCCTAGTATAAACAAATGTATCAAGAAGTTTTACCTTGCTTCAAGGACTTGAAGCTAAAATAAACATTGAGAAAAGTCTGAGAACGTTGGCATAAACTGTGAGGAAATGTCAGCCAGTTTTACACTGACCTGAATCATATTGGAGGGACGGTTTGTGTTTTTATCATCCAACATTTACTGAATCAAGCTGAGTTCCAGACCAAGGTTGAGTTTATTATGAAAAAACAGGATAAACAGGATAAAATGTGAAGGCTTCATAGATACTTTTTTTTTTTTTGTAGAATGTTCTATGTACTGACAAAATATAGTGTATAATGAGCTTAGAAAAAATGTAACCAGCAGATAAGTGCTGGAAGCTTCAGTTTGCAGCAAGAAATGTTCAGTTTGTTCTCGTTTCCTAAAATATGTATTCTCTGATTGAACAGAACTTGTTTATTTATGAGGATTTTGTGTTTACATCTATTGTCCAAAAGTTTTCCCCACAGCAGATGAAACTTTTTATAATCAGAGATATTTTGTTTGCCTTTATAGCATCATCCAACATATAGCTGCTGTGACTACAGCAGATATGACTATGACTGATATGACTGTCCTCTTTGTCGTCATATCAGTGAGGGAGACGTCAACAAAATAGTGCCATTGTCAATCTTATCAGCCTTTTTGTGCTTGTTTGCTCATAGAAGTACAGCTAATCACAGATCATACTAAAGAATGTTTCTGTCTTTGGGTTGTAGTGAGTCGTAAAGTAAAAAGGCAAAACACGCCAGTGTAAAAACATTCAGATTTTTTTTGGTTGTAAATTGCTTTGCGAACAAATTCCAACAAAAACACGGGAGGAAATGCAAACTTTTATAATTTGCTGATTTTCATCTTTTTTTTTTTTTTTTTTGGCTCCGACAAGCTGCTCAGTGTTTGTTTATCACCCGGTTCTGTCTTTCCCGTTGCTCCAGCAGCATCTTGTGTAAACAACTGAGTGCTGATGTGACCAGGTGGTCCTTTTTTTTCTGAATGACTACAATCCGGAAATTATGTTTGCTCATCAGTGTGCAAAGCTTGTAGCTTAACAAAAGCGCTATTTGAAGCTGGAAAACTCAAGTGTTGCCTTCAGCATGACAGGCGCTGCTGTCCTTTATTTGCTTTGATGAAATCAGCAGACCGTGTGGTAAACACCCAGTCACAGACAGACAAACTGGATTTGTTCTTTACTATATGCGACTTCATGATGTGTGAAGGGGTTTGGTAAACTGTGATGTTCTTTCTTTGTCCTTTGCAGCTACAACCTGGAGAGTGGTGTCTGGAACACAGTTCCCAGCAGCGGCGGACCAGTGCCAAGATACGGCCACTCACTTACTGCCTACCAGGTACACATAGAAACACACAGATGCACTTAAACCCACCTGAGTGCAGAGTTAAAACAAAAAATAAAAACAGCTGCTGGATGGGGGGGAAGAATTTTCCACAGTGAAAGAGCGATGATGTTTCGTCAGAAAACAGGAAGCTTCACAGATTTTAGAGAGGAAATTAATCATAATTGAATAATAATAAACGTAACCCAGAGTTTAGGAGTTCCTTTTGTCTTGGCGCAGCCTCCAGACTTAATAGCTAACAACAGTTTTTAAATTGAAAGCTTGACAGACGTTTGAGGTTTTAAGTTATCATCAACGGATGTTTTTTGGGGGAATATCTGTCCAGCAAGTTCTTCTCATCTGACCCGCAAAATACGAAATTATTTTTTGAAATTGCAGATCGGGAATCAGTTTAGCCCCGCTCATAAAAGGATATTAACAAGTGATGAGCATTTTATGCACACTTCCAAACTTGTTGGTCAATATTAGATTTTTTTTTTGTTTTGTTTTGTTAATACTTCACACTCAGCCCCTCGTTCATCCTGTGTCCCCCGACGACCTACCAGCTAACACAAACATTAGACCAAGTTGTATCATAATGTGTGATTATTTCATCCTTTAGTCATGCATGGCTAATTTAATACTACAACAAATTGTTTAAAAGCAGAGAAAGCACTAATTTCAGCTGCCGCCTAATGTTTCTGGACTCCTCCCTGTTTCACATTTTTTGCTTAAAACATGATTTTCTCTACACGGCTAGGATTTGTGGTGAATTAAATTTTATTTACTCCCAAGTTGTGTGGTCAGAAAACCATTTAATGAAACAGGCTTCTGGTGCAGAGATATGCTGCTGTTGCTAAATTTGCTTATCTTGCTAACGGAGTATCTTTATATTCCCTCTTCTTCACTGGTCTGGTGGATCAGTGTGGACTGGGATGTATGTGTTCTGGCAGTAAAGTCAAACTCATCCACAATCATAGTTTCCACTCTAATATTTTCAAAATAAACTACATTAGAAGAAACCGATGCTCTGAGTTGCATCTATTTTGGAGTGGGGTTTAGGTGTTGTGTTGTAAAAAGTGCAGTGACTGGAAAGAAGCTCCTTTAGGAACAACTTAGCACGCTACTATCAAGTGCTGGTGTTAAAAACCAAACAAATGTCACATGAATTACAATAGGCTAATTTAAAGAAGAAGACTTGGCGTATTTGAAAATAATGTTTTTCATTCCTTTTAATAACGACAGTGCTTTAGCTAAACCGAGTGCTCCCTCATGGCGTGTGTAAACAGCAGAAACAGGGTGTGCTGCTGAGATCTTAAAGAGCATCAGTGCTCCCGATTTTAATCAAAGCCCTCGTTTAACCTTGAATATCTCTAGGTAAATTTAGAAAACAACCGTCTTTATTTTGTTGGAAGCACCGTTCTGTAGACGTGACTGGTTATCTGAGCTGGGTATAAGCAGAACTAAAAGCCATAAAGTTCAAATCTTAATACCGGTAGACCTGATTTGCTCTTCTTGCTAATCTTGGCTAAATGCAGATCTGAAGTGTGAGTTGCTTTAAACATTACTTAACCTTCAGTTCTTGACAAGTTTGATTTTTAACCTAGATTTAGACATATTTTATACCCCGTAATGCTCACTGTCTTTGAAGCCCTGAGTCATATGCAATTAATGAACTTCTGATTTGAATGAATGAATGAATGAATGAATGAATGCTGGGCTAAGTTGTAAGTTCAAATGAATAGATCTGAAACTAACAATGTTTGCACCAATGAGCCGAGCAGTTATGAGCAGTGGTGTTGGTCACGTTCAAAGTTAGTTTTCTGTTAGTTTGTGCTGCAGCTGGAGCAGGAGTACACTCCAGATGTTTTCACAGATGAAAGATTTGCTCCATTTGTTTGTGCCTAATGAGTTCGTCTCAAGAGAAAGTAAAATACACGTCTTTTCTTAATACGTTGCTTTTGATGTTTTTATTTAAGGATATGTTTTTGGACAGCAGAATTGAAGTAATGGTTTAAATACGGTAATTCTATATCACAAGGAAGTGAGTTGGCACTGCACGATGGCTCAGTGGTTAGCACTGTTGCCTCACAGCAAGAAGTTCCTGGGTTCAATCCCCGATTGGACCTGGGATCTTTGTGTGTGGAGTTTGCATGTTCTTCTCGTGCTTACGTGGGTTTTCTCCGGGTACACCGGTTTCCTCCCACAGACCAAAAACATGCATGTCTGCTTTCAGGCCTGTGCTTCCCTGGCCAAAGAGATCTGTGATCTCAGTGGGATTTGCCGGTTAAATAAAGGTTAATAATAATAATAAAGAAAGCAACTCTCCACCTCTTCAGGATAAAATCTACATGTTCGGTGGGAAACTCGAAGCCAGCTGGGGGAACGTGACAGACGAGCTGTGGGTGTTCAATATATCCAGTCGTACGTGGCAACGGGAACACCCCGATGTGGACTCACCGGCTCAGGCTCAGATTTATGCCGTGGAGGGACACACAGCCCACTGCGTCCAGCTGAACAGTGGCGAGGCCATCATGCTAATCATCTTTGGCTACTCTCCCATCTACAGCTACATCAGCAACGTTCAGGAGTTCAACCTGAGTGAGTCGCAGCTCGTTTCTGCAGATGTCTTATTGCTCATCATTTGTCTGATGATTGATGTGAACGGAATACAACAAATAAATATGCTGTTTAAGCTTTAACTAGGGCTGTAAAAACATCATTATGTTCTTCAAGGTCATTTTTGACTGTTGTTTTTTTACTTCATAAATGTATTTGTTAGGTGAAACTCCATGTATTTTTTTTTTTTTCTTGTTAGTGTCCAACAAATGGTTTGTGCCTGAGACAAAAGGAGCCATTCCTCAGGGAGGGTACGGCCACACCAGCACATACGACGGCGCCAGCGGCAGCATCTACGTCCACGGCGGCTACAAAGCACTGCCAGCCAATAAATATGGCCTCGTCGACGACCTGTACCGATACGACGTCAACACGCGGACATGGTGAATCATCGTGTCGCTCTCATCATTGATCATGCTTTACAGAGTGTGTCGTGCTGAACCTTGACACGCACATTGTGCAAATCTCCCAGGTTCATTCTGAGAGAAAGCAGCTTTCCAAGGTACTTGCATTCAGCTGTGCTCCTCAGCGGCACCCTGCTCGTCTTCGGGGGCAACACACATAATGACACGTCACTCAGCAACGGAGCCAAGTGTTTTTCTGCTGACTTCCTTGCCTACGACATTGGTAGGACTCATTTTGTTGTTTATAAATCTCATCTGGCCACCTTATTTACTCTTTTTGTTACTTTTAGCTACATTGTTATTGGATATTAGATCAATTTATAGATGAACAGAATATTTTAAGTAATAGTCAATATGGGTTTAGAGCAAATAATTCAACATCAATGACTCTCATGGAACTAATAGAAGAGATAACAAATGCTGTTGATCAAAACCAGTATTGTGTTAGTGTTTTTGTTGATTTAAAAAAGGCCTTCGATGCTGTTGACCACACCATTCTCCTTGAAAAACTAAATAAATATGGCATTAGAGGATTAGCATTACAGTGGGTATCCAGTTATTTGAGTAATAGGAACCCGTTTGTACAGGTAAACGATGTATGATCTGTATTTTGTGTTAATGGATGTGGAGTCCCTCAAGGCTCTGTGTTGGGACCAAAGTTGTTTATTTTTGTATGTGAATGATCGGGTTGATGTGTCGGGGCTTTTGAAGTGTGTTTATGGGGGCCGAGATGGTGTAGAGGCAGGGCAGCCGGCTTGGGACCCAAAAGTCCCAGGTTCGATCCCCAGTCACTGCACATCACGTGGCGTCTCTGGGCAGCACACCTCATCCCCAAAATGCCCCCCCGGGCGCTTTCAATAGCTGCCCACTGCACCACCTGGTGGTGGATGGGTTAAATGCAGAGACTAATTTTGCCATTGTATGGAAACATACAGTGCTGACATTGTGATGACATTATTATTATTATTATTATTATTTGCCGATGAAACCACATTTTTTTGTTCGGGTGAAGATATTGAACGGATGTTAGAGATGATACAGGCAGAATTTGTAAAAATACAAACTTGATTCTAACTTAATAAGTTATCATTAAATTTGGAGGAAAAAAAACTAATTACATGATATTTAGTATAGTGAAATAAAATTTTGGGGTGTCATTATTAATGAGAAGCTGACATGGAAATCTCATGTAAATTACATGATAATAAAAATAGCAAAATCAATTACTGTATAAAGTAAAATAGTTTTTGAATTACAAAGGTTTGTATATATTGTATAATGTAATGATTGTTCCATATTTAATCTATTGTATTGAAGTTTGAGGGAAAGCATGCAAAACAATTACAAATCCTATTTTCATTTTACAAAAAAGAGCTATAAGAATTATTAGTAGGAAGTGCTATGATCACCCAACAAATATATTATTTCATCATTTAAAATTATTAAAATTTTATGATTTGATTGAGTGTAGTATTTTACAAGTCATGTATAAAGTTCATAAAAAATATTACCCCCAAATAGTCAATTAAAATTTGTTAAAAAAGAGATTCATTATAACCTTAAGGGAATGTAAATATTTGTAAAACCTCCATTTAGAACTAGTCTGAAGGAGCTGCGTTGTAGATCAGGGAGTAGGATTGTGGAATTACCTTCATATCACCATAAAAAATTCTAAAACAATTTATATGTTTAAAAAGATGATTAAGGTAAAATTGTTAGGAAAGTATAGTGCCAGGTGAAGGATGCCCGATGTTTTTTGTTTTCGCTTTGGGGATTTTTCAAGCCAGAGTTGTTTGTTTATTTTATATTTTTTAAATAAGGGGCAGATATTATAAGAATTTTCTTCTTTCTTCACTCTTTTCATTCAATGTTTTATTTTCTTTTTGATGAATTTGCTTTGTTTATTTTGTTTATTTTAAATGAATGAATAAATGAATACTACATATATAATTGTTTTTTTTTCTACAGTAAGCATGAACTTTATTAAACATTTTTGCTTTGTTAAATTGGCTTTAGTCTTTTGCTTACTTTGGGAGTAAGTGAAAGTTACTTTTGGGTAAAATATATGTAATATTCAGGCTTTTGGTTCATTCTTTCTCAGTGGTATAATTTTAATTCTCCTGATTTATTCAGTTTATTTTAACAGACTCAGAAACTTTGTAAAATAATGTAAATCGGTGTCATCTTCAGATGCTGTGTTCATTACATTACAGGCAAATAAAAACACATTTTTTATTCCTCAGTTTGCGATGAATGGAGGCTCCTGCCCAAGCCAGACCTGCACAGAGACGTCAATCGCTTTGGTCACTCGGCCGTCATCAGCAACGGGTGAGTCTATTTCCTGGCATCTTCATGCAGAGTAGCCCACACCAGACAGATAGACTTGTGGGAGTTTAAATTTCTAGCTCCGAGAAGAAATGATAATCATTTTGTTTATCTTGTGCGTTTAAATTTTAACATTAAAATGATCTAAAACAGGTCTCACTTGTAAATGAGTCTCCGAGGCGCAGTGTGATTAATATATATAAATAAAGGTTGAACTGAATGAATGATCTCTTTAAGGTCTTCCTGTCAAGTCAAGTTTGATTTATTTGTCAATTTCTTTTTTTCAGGTCCATGTATGTATTTGGAGGCTTTTCCGGTGTGCTGCTCAACGACGTGCTTGTTTACCGACCTCCTAGCTGCCAGGCCTTCTCAACAGAGGAGGAGTGCGTGAGGGCTGGGCCCGGGGTTCGCTGCATGTGGAGCAGGGGCCGCTGTCTCCCCTGGGAACCCAGCATGGCTAATGGGAGCCTCACTCCTGCCCCATTCTGCCCCTCTAAAGCTGGTGAGACTTTAATTTTTAGTTTTAGACAGTTTTGTTAGAGCTTTTTTGTTTGTCACCTGCACTTTTTTTATTTTAAAAATACTGATTGAAACCACATGCATTTAACCATATTCTTTATTTTTCCTTCTTTTTGTTTTCTTGTGTCTTTTTAGTAACGGTGGATGAGTGGTGCTACAGGTTCTCAGACTGTGGCAGCTGCACAGCAAACACTAAAGGCTGCCAGTGGTGTGATGACAAGAAGTGCATCGCTGCTTCCAGCAACTGCACCTCTGTGAGTGCACCAGCAGGGGGCAGCAGAGCCTTTCAAATCTCACACAGTTTACTGAAACAAGCTCTTTTGTACTTGGAGATTTATTTAACTGTGCATAAATGACTTTGTTATCAGTGTTTACTTGATTATGATCCTGTCCTTGTTGAGGAGTAAATAAAATCCTCACAACTTTATGAGCTGTGTGGAATTTCTAAGTGAAAACAGACTATTTGCTCTGAAATTGAATCATATAAAAAAAAAAAAATCCACCTTTCTTTTCTTCTCTTCTTTTTTTCAGAATGTGAAGAACTTCACGAGGTGTCCGGTGCGGAACGAGCAGGTGTGCAGCAAACTCGCCAACTGCAAGAGCTGCTTCCTGAATCTCAACTGTCACTGGGACCAGAATCACTCCCAGTGCCTCGCCTTGCCTGGTACGCTGAATGCACATTAATGCACATGTGAACATCTTGTTAAACGTTCAAAATTTTTGTTTATTGCTTGACATGCGGACAAGTTTTAACGAAGATCATTTAATTTGTAGAAAATTAAAGTATCATGCTTTTTTTTCTGAAAATCCTCCCAATTTCTCTGTCAAGAGAATATTTAAACAAAGTTTATGTGAATTTTCTCATCATGGTTTGGTTCATATAATGACACGATTATAATATAGCTAAAATACAGCAGTAAGTATTTTCAGAAGAAGTGTTTTCAACCTGTCATCTTGATGTTGTTTATCAGGTCTGCCAGTGCATTTAGTTTAGCTCTCAGCAACTACCTCCCACCCAGCCTGTTGCTGATGTGGACGCCAGCTGAATACGGAGAAATAGCGCTGTCACTTTTATCCATAATTTTCAGCTTGTGACGAATTGTCGCCTGAGGGGATCGCAGTGGGAGCTGCAAATAATATCTCTGTTTATATGTGTGTGTGAATTTTATCATGCTTGAAAGGGACACACGCAAAGAGCATACATCTAAGACTGATAAATGCAAATTAGAAAACAAAATTGTTGACATTTAAATACACTGAGCCTTAAATCTTCAGTTTTTTTGTGACTTGTAATGCTCAAAAATGTTCCCTGTTTTACTAAAGTGCAAAACATTTTGTAGACCACCATTTTCATATTTTCTTTAAAAAAACGACGAGCAGCATTTCTCCAAACTGAAGTTCGGTTATGACTACTTTATGATAAAATTGATCGTATTTGTCCCTTCCAGCCCAGCATTGCAGCGAGGGTTGGAGCCAGGTGGGCGATGCCTGCCTGAGGATCAACTCCAGCCTAGAGAGCTACGACAACGCCCAACACTACTGCAAGAACCTGAACGGGAACATCGCCTCACTCACCACCTTCAAACAAGTGCACTTTGTGCTTGAAGAGCTCAAGAAGCTCCAGCAACAAGACAAGGTGAGTATAAACTATAAACCAGCGTAGATTGCATACTGGTTTTTGGTGCCCAGGTGATGAAGATGAGCTGTTTAGTGCTTGTGTAATTCTTGCATTTCAGCTACTACAATTCCTAACTTTAGAAAGCACCAGAACAGCAATAACTTAGTCCCATTTACAGATATTGTGCTAACAGTAGATGTGGTGGTAGTTGAGAGTAGAGCCCAACCGATATGGAAATTTTAGCTATCGCTGATACAGATATTAGAAGAGAATGGCTAATGCAGATAACCAATATAATGACTGAAGTTTTTTTTTTTTGGCTTCGTCCACCTCAAGAATCTAAGTAAACAGCTACTTTTAAATCTGTTTTAACACTTAAAGTCTTGAAACAATCTTCCTAACGTGCGTTCACATTTTCTTTACTCCACTATTCACCATAAGGTTATCAAGTCTGTTACAAAAATATAAATTAATACGGATCAGTTAAAATAAACTCATTATATTATTTTATATTATTTCTTATATCATTTATTATATATTATAATATTATTGAATTTATTATTGTTAATTATTTAATTTTTAATTTACACATCAGTTAAAATAAACTTATTTATTATATTATATATTATAATATTATTAGTGAAATTATTATTGTTGATTTTGTTATTTTATTATTTATTTTATTTTACAGATCACTTCAAATAAACGTACCATGCTCCTTTCAGCAAAGTATGCTACACAGTTGCTCCCTGCTTCGTCTGCGCTGAATGTGAAAGTGAAACTTAAAGTGAACAGAAATGACTTGAAAGTCGTTTGCATGCGCCCTCTGCTGGATACATTGTACAATTACACCTTTTGCTTGTCAGGACACGGCTTGTTCCCCGTGTTTATATCAGCGCATGATGGGACAATTATCACAGATAACAATTTGTCCCCAAATGCCTTTATCGGCCTAAAATATCAGCCCGACCGATATATCGGCCCTACAGTGGGGCTGTAGTTGAGAGTCATCCTTAACACTGAGCCTGACGGCTCGTGGTATTGCGTGAGATTGTACAAATGTTATTTTATATGTTTGACCAAAATGGCAACTTTGTCATTTCTCAAAATGAGATGGTCCTAACTGAACACTCTTCCTGTTCCTTTAAGAAATGCTAGGACTTTAATTTGTGGCCTGTCTTATATACAGCAAACCACAGCTACAGACCACAAGCTCTTATTGTTGAAGCTCTGGACTGCTGGGTCTTATTTGCTGGTTTCCACTTTAATCAGAACATTTTCCATGATGTAAGCCACATCAAAAGAGAACATGTTTCTGTCACAAACAAGATGCAGTCAGAAAGTTTAGACTGCATGTCTTTCAACTTCCAGCTCTGTTTCAGGATGTTACAGTAGAGCTAAGCTCTGATCCACCGCCCCGTGCAGTTCAAAGAGAATGACGAGCAGGCTCGCTTCTCTGATCTGACGCGCCTTTTCGGTTCACTCAGCTCTTCTGTTTGGTCTCTGGGTCATAGTTGTACTCCTAATTTGATATTCAAAGACTGAAGCCACCGTTGCATCACTCGGTACGCTGGCGATGAAGAGCAGGTTTACCGACCAGAGTCGACCTTTGTTCTGTTACTGACGCTGATCGGATTCAGGTTTGGAGATGTCGAGGCTGAATTCAGATGTTGCTAGGTGTTTCTAAGAAGTTGGAAGTTTAAATCTTAAGCTGCTTTGCTCCAGTTTTATTTCCTTTAAAGCTCTGTCAAAGCATCCATATCATAATTTAACTATCTTTTCTTATCGTAGGAATTTTGAGATCCCTGTTACCACCTCTATAACCTCACTGCTCCATTTTCGTCTTGCAGCAAAAAAACAAAAACAAACTTGGAATCCAGTGATGAATTTAGTTTGGTCATGCTTGCTGTGCTCACGAGAACATAATTTGCTGTCAGTCTGCTTAGTTTATTCAAATGTTGTTATTTCTTCCAAACAGAACCTTGACGTGCCTTTTCACATTATTTTTCCCATTACTTTAAAACTCGAATCCTGAAGGCAAATAAGTAATCATATCTGTGAAATTATGTTTAGCAGACTCTTAATGGCCTTCTTTGTTCCCAGGTGTAAGTGCATGAGTCATTAATTTTTTTTCTAAGTAGCGTGACGGAACAGAAAAAGAAGCACATTTATGCTGTTTTATTGGAAGTTTAAATCTCCAGCTCTTCTTTTTTTTTTTGTTGTTGTCTCCGTAGCGGCTGTCCCCCTGGGTGGGCTTGAGGAAGATCAATGTGTCATACTGGGGTTGGGAGGACATGACTCCCTTCACAAACAGCAGCTTGCACTGGCTGCCTGGGGAGCCCAGTGACTCTGGTTTCTGTGCCTATTTGGAGGAGCCTCAGGCGTCGGGCCTGAAGGCCAATCCGTGCACTGCAACCGCTCATGGGCTCATCTGCGAGAAAGCTACAGGTGAGAAACACGCACAGCTATTCCCATAAGCAAAAATACGTTCAAATAACATTTTTTTTTTTTTGAGTTCCTGTTATTTCCTGTTTATTCGCAGGAAACCCTAATCAGAGTACCCGTTCATCTTGCAAGAAGCCCTGCTCGCTGCACACGAACTGTGCCAACTGCACGAGCCAGGCCATGGAGTGCATGTGGTGCGGCAGCACGCAGCGCTGCGTGGACTCCACCACGTACGCTATCTCCTTCCCCTATGGCCAGTGTCTGGAGTGGCAGACTGCGGACTGTGTGGGTAAGAGTGTTTCACTGCGCCTAATCCAGACAAGTTGTCGTGTAAGTCCATAGTTTGGCATTAAGGGGGCAGACAATAAGCTCCGCTAGATTGGCTTCTGTAAGCAGTCAATATTCATCACAGAGAGAAAAGAGGTCGGGGAAAGAAAACAGCTTAAAGGGGAAGGTGTTTGCTTCACAGGGAGAATCGTATTAGTTTCCAGTGATTGACTTTAGAAGCTGCTATTGGCTTTTAATGGCCAATTACTTTTGCATATAATCTGATGTCCAGCTGCTGCTTTCCATGCTGACTGAGCTAAAGATGGACCCACTCCCATTAGATCCTTTTAAGTAGCCTTGGACTAAGAAAGAGACTGGAGTTGAATAAACAAAAGGGGTATTGCCACACTTGTAAAATCAGAATTTTTAATTAGCTCTCTGTGCTAATATGATGATTTTTATCACCTTGTTCTGAAAGGTGAAAGCTGGGCAATGATTTTATTTGCTTGTTTGTGTTTCTGTTTACTAAACTATCTCTTTAAATGTGCAGAAAATAATCATTGGATGTCCTGTACATCTACATTTACATAATATTTGGAGTCAACCCCAACTGACTATTAAATAACTCTAAATTACTGGGACTGTTTTACAGATACTGAGCTAATATTTGGTGTTGTAGTAGCTAAGACTGATCTACAACACATATTCTGAGTTCTAACAGTGTGCAAGAGATTTGTCTAAAACCTTCCCGTTATCTATTTGTAGCCAACATTGTCTGTTTGTAAGCAAAATATCTCAAACCAGTAGATGTATTTTAATACAACTTTCAGAAATTGTCTGAATACCTCTACAGTATACCATTTTACAGATATCAGAGTCCGTTTCTTTGTCATTCGCACCACATGTGGTACATGTGGTGGAACAAAATTGTGTACACAGGGTCCCAGTTACATCCAACAATAAAATGTAAAAGAAAAACTGTAATAAGATCTAAGATATGAACTAAGAAAAACATCAACTAAAAATATGCTTAGCACTAATAGCATAAAAACAGTAAAAACAATATGCCAATACTAACAATACGCTGTTACTAGCTAATATTGATTATTATTTTTGTATAGTATAGCCTAGAGTCATTATTAATACATATGCTAACCATGCTGTCTCGCAGTTTGGCACTGGATAGCGCATAACTTCATTAGCAAGATTTAACGAAAAATGGCTACATCTTTGGCACCTCTCCACATACGGTGGTGGACCATATGTGTTCCTTCAAGAAATGCTAAACCTCAAATAAGTTTCAAATATTCAGAAAAACTAAAATATTGTACATTTGTGCTTTTATCCTTGTTGTCAATGGCTCATTAATGTGTCACATAATATAAAAAATGTATTTGCGTTCTTTTTACATTATGGGTATTTCGGTTGTGTTTACATTTTGTACCCAGCATGCAGTTTTTTGTCTATGCTTTACACCTTGTTTCCTGTTTCTGTTCCCCCCCCCCCCCATGGCAGCGTTACAGCGCCCCACACAGGCCTGGCATAGTAACTGCAGCCTGATGTGTCATTGCTATTTTAGTAGATTAAGACAATTCTAGAATCCGTGTTGTGTTTACAAGTATATTCTTTAGAAACAAATTAAAAGATTGTTTTGGAAAAATTGCATTTCATTACGATCAAGTCCTTCGTTTGACTCCATTATTTTGGAAGCTTTAAATCTCAATCAAACATTGCTGTTTCTTTGGCCTCCCTGTTAGCTGAAAACTTTCACCCTGCATCTTTTGGAGAAGCTGATGAGCTCTGAGCCGTATGCTTCCTATTGATTGGACAGTATGGGATCATTTCACAAATCACACCTCTGTGCTTTACTCAGTGGTGCTTAAAAATCTCAGTCATACCATTAAGTATTCACATCTTCAAACACATTTATTCCTCAGCATGTATAAATTGCAAAGATTACACAAAGCCCACATAGAAGAAGAACAGAGTAAATATAAAGGCAGTGATCGGTATCGTACTGGACACATACTGAGGAGAAACAGTTTTTTCAGGACCCTGCAGTAAGTCGATTGGGGAGCTCCTTCACCTGAAGGTCGTTGGAGTTGTTCGGCTCGGTGCTGCCGCGTGATGTATGAATTATTCCCACAGTTGTGTCACATCGAGAAAACATCTCTGATCAGTTTAGCGAGTAACAAATTTAGGGAGCCCAAGAGTGCTGTCTCAAATTCATTTGTGTCCGCTGCTGGTGGGCAGCGTGGAGATTCTGCTCACCGCGGATATTTGTCTTGAGGAATTAGTCTCTCCCGGCGTGAAGGGCGAGGAAGGTTGTTCTGAAAATTCGCTTTGTGTTTTTTTTTTTTTCTTGTTGTCTGTGTGGGAAAACCGACTGAACAAGCCCAAGTCTTGCATTTTTTAAAACGATTTCTTTCTTAATTTAAATGGCATTAAATGTCAGTTCACACTGCTTGCTTTATAAGTTTATTTGTCTTTTAGTTGGCAAAAGGTTCAGTTTGCAGCCTTCATTTAAACAAGTTATCATTTGTTAGATTATACCAGATACTTCAGAGTCAGTCTTTCCATTCAGGACATACTAGCTGATCCACCCCGATATCTTTTCACTTTCCTTGTAATGACCTTCTCTCAGAAACCAGATGATTTTTGCTTCATTTTGATGGGTCGGAAACACCCCCCCACCCCCCTCCAGCTGCGTTCAAACAGAATTTCAAACACGAAAAACTGATGTGACTACTTTAACTCGAATGATTTTTCTCCCTTGAATTCAGTTTTCAAGCGAAAACTGACAAAAGATTAAATGATTTTATGATTAAATGTTTTCCAGCCATTCTGTTTAAATGCAGAACATTATTTTGTATCGGCGTAAGGATTGCTCGAAGCAAGTGCAATCTACATAAATGAAAGATTATAGGATCTGTTAAAACCTTTTGATTGATCATTTGCATTGAACAACTAACAAAACTGGATTTTAGTTATTAAATTCAATATGGCAATAAGTGACTCATGCTTTATTTTTAATGAACATATCCATCATCTTCCTCTTTTAAACCTCTGCAGCTTGTGCATGATATGATAAAGCTGTTTTGTTTGGAGTTTGTGAAACATTTAGCAAACGGATTATCTTAATGCAACCACTGTGTACGTTCCAATAAAGGTCAGGTCATCTGGATGTTTTTTTTTTTTTTTAGATCCAAAGGACAAATGAAGGACGCAACGTCTCAACAACAACAAAAAAGAGAAACTGTCCACATGACCTGACTGAACTTTGTTGGATTTTTACCTGGATTATTGAGCATGAACTTTGACACTGTTTACGTTGAATTGTATAGCTAACTAAGCTAATCTTATTAAGTTCATTTATTTTCGAGCTCAGAACCTATTTTAGTCTAACTTATATCTGATATTGAAATGATTGCATCTTTACTTTGAATCTGCTGCTGATTATTTCAGACTTGTCAGTTTTGTTGAGCAAACCGGTTTTATTTGTGCCAGGATTCATTGTTTTTCTCTAGAGACGGTCTTGATCACCATACAGTTTCTGTAACACCTTCATTCTGCAGTTTAGTTGTTAAAAGTCTTGGTGAACGACGTGGGCTTCGTATTTCAGCATGCTCTCATGTTGTAGCAAAGCAAGAAGTCCTCGTCCAGCTGCTTCTATTTTCAGAAGAACAGAAATCCTCCACTTATGGCTTGTCGTCGAAACAAACTTAAATGGCCTCACTTTGTGCTGATTGCTCTTGTGTTGTCATGGTTTCACATCCATTAGTAGAATAGCTGCAGATTTGTTTGACATAAACTGAGGTAAAAGCACTCAGTGTTTGTCTCCTTAAAATAGTGGTGGCATTTGTCCACCGGAGTGTCTGTCGCTCCGAAACTTGTCGAGCAATTTAATGGCCTTAAAGCCCCTCAGCTGACAAAACAACATTTCTGCTTTGGTTCTTGAAGTTAGACTGGAGTGCCAAAGCACACGTTATCTTTAATCCTCCTCTGGAACTTTTACCCAACTTTTTCTTAATCTCACAGTCTATGAACCTCTCCTAAATCCACTAATCAATAAATGCTAGACACTTCTTCATAATCCACCTATCTGTTTTCACATCTGCTGTCTTGATGCCAAACTTGATAAGCGATTTGTGTTTTAGGGTAAAGCACATTAAGCCTCCTTAATCTACAGCTCCTATAAGGATTAAGAAAGTCCTAAATACAGGACTTTGTTTGCAAAATGAGTGAACAATTGCTGTTCTTTGTTTTTGAATTTGTGTGGGTGTCTAATAGTGTGAAAGTTACTATTTTGGGGGGAATTGAAAATAATTGTGACAATGAAAATGCAGTTTATTGAGGTCAGCGTTTGAGAGCTTTTCCTTCTCTTTTAGCACAAAACTGTTCAGGACTGCGGACGTGTTCTCAGTGCTTGGAGCAGCCAGAGTGCGGCTGGTGTGGAGATCCAAGCAGCACAGGAAAGGGGCTGTGCATAGAGGGTTCCTACCGGGGACCCATGAAAAGGCTGTCGAAGCAGGGCCAGCAGGGCCAGCCGGGCCAGCAGGGCCTGTCCTATGACATGAGCCTGGAGCCAGGCAGCTGCCCTAAAGACAAGGGCTTCGAGTGGGCCTTCATTCACTGCCCTGGTGAGTAAATTACATCCTGACAGGCTTCCTGAAATTACAGATAATGTGTCGCGTGTACGTCTGTGTGAGAGGTTCTTATTGGGTATTGATCTTAGTTTTTTAAATTCATTATTTTGAGAAGATGTTCATGCCCAGGAATGTTCCTGTTTCAGCTCTGTAATGCAACAAATCCCTCCCAGATGATTTCATGCAACCGCTTGGTTATATGATAATATATACACACTGTAGGGTGCAATTTGATGATCTGAGGCTTGAATGAACAATTATTAGCTTTATAAGGACTTCAGTAAAGTAATCAAAGAGCCATACATTAAAATGCAAAATGTACAGCTTTTTTTGGAAGAATTTTCAGTTTTCTTTCTTTTATTACCGGTATGTGGATTTTGCAGCATAATTTGCATATTCTTTTCCAAAATCTTTAAATTTAAGACATCCATGGAGTTTAATTCCTAACTTTTTTCCAGGCTGCTTAAATTTCACTCAATATTTTGATTTCATGAATTTATTTTAAGTCGTTTTCAAATGAGGACATTAAAGGCCACACACAGCTTGCCCCAGGAAGACTTCTTCGCCGGGTACATAGGGGTAATGTTTTACATCACGTTAAAGTAAAACGTTTGGATTTAATTTTAAAACTAACTTTAAAACTGCGCTTCAACTAATTTGGTTGAGAAATGATACGCTTGAGCCAAAATTGCCAAAGTTTTCCCAGTTGGAGATTTAATTCAAGCTAATTAAAAGTTGTATCCATAAAAAAAAAACCTTCTAAAAAGCAGAACTGATTAAACAATAATTAATATGACATGGCAGACACAAGCGCCTGACAGTGCTAATGGGCTCTTTTTTTTTCTAGGAACAATAACTGCAGCTTTAAAATGATTCACTGAATGCTGCATGACATTTAGTCCGGTGTAATTCAAAGCTTATTTTAAACGTCTTTTATTTATTTATTTTCAGCTTGCCAGTGTAACGGCCACAGCACGTGTGTGAACGGCAGCATGTGTGAGCAGTGCCGTAACCTTACCACCGGTCCACACTGCGAGACCTGCATGCCTGGTTACCATGGAGACCCAACCAATGGCGGCAAATGCCAGGGTGAGCGACGCATTGCTTTAACGACGAGCCATTCTGTAAACACTGGACCCGACCTCCATCACCTTCCTCATCGTCTGTTTGTTTCCATCAGCGTAACCACATTTACCTCCTTTTGTTTGTCTTCTTCTAGTGTTTTAAATTGTGATCAACCATTTCCAGGAAGTAATTATTTCTATGCCAACCTGTACTGTATATTGTGTCATCATGACATTTATCTTGTCATGCTGCAGTTTAACCAACAGAGGGCAGTAGAGTGCACTGGTTTGAACTCCATTTGACATTTTGACTCTTGTCTGGTTTAGGTGTTATTTACATAAATTGATGGAAACAAAACAACCAAAAGCATCACATGTGTCTGGTTCAGCTGCATAACAAGAACGATAGGGAAGTAGCTTTAGGTTTGTTTGAAGTTTGTGTAGTTTGTGGAGAAAATGCTAAACGTGTAAACACAATTTTTTTTCCCCATAAAGACTGGCTGAAAATAAAAAGTAATTTAAATACATCACCTACAATTAACTAAACATATAAAGGCAGAGGGGAAGAATTATTTTTAGGACAACAAATACAAAATCGAACACATCCGCTTCAGGATTTTACCAGTAGTTTTAGTTTCTTTATATAAAACATTAAACTGATGCTTTTATAGGGCTAGATTTCTTATGTCAATCTCCTACCACATCAAAAAGAAAAATAAAGAATTTGAGCGATTGCCAATTATAGTATAAATAAAATGATGGCTCTTAAAGTAGAAGAGTTCATGTCTGCTGAATTTATTGTGATGGTTCCAGTCAGAGCACACAAGTGGCATTAAATTAAACAGGAAACGACCCTATTAGTATCTGATGTCTGGAAGTATCTTTGTAATAAAAACGCTTCACATTCACCAGAAAATGCTCAAACTGAACCCTAACAAAGACAAGTGTTTACATTTTCTCATCAGTCTTTAACATGAGTCATGAAAAAACATTCCTGGGAAATTTCTTGTGCTTTTTTTTTTTTTGAAATATCAGAAGTGGGAGTTGGACACACCCATACACAGGCATGGGAGTTTTATATCTTTTCATTTATCATTTATTAATAAAAAATGTATAATTATTGTCTAATACTTTTTAATATGAAACTAAGCAGGTAAAAGTTTGTAATACTCTGTATTTCTTTAAAATCTGGGGTCAAACAGATCTGTTGTAAGTCGTATAACTGAAGCTCTGTTTTATTTAAACAAAGAGTGACTAGTGAGAATTTTTTAATGTGTTTTAATGATTTAAACCACATTTTTTCCAGTAGTATGAACTAGAGCACTTGGTTTTAAAGCATCCCTAAATATGCATACATACCATGCTGGACTCTGCAGAAGAGGGAGGGTGTGGAAGGCCCATTGACCCATCAGTAACGCACGTTTTCCATGTTTTAAAACTCACTGACCCTGAAGGATAGGGTCTCTTATCTCCTTGCAAACACAAACCTAAAAGCCCATCGAAGTAGCATCGCTTCAACAACCTGTTCACTCATTTGTCACCCACCATTTCTACATTTCACACACACGTACACACACTTTTTTTTTTTTTTTTACCTGGCGGGTGGTGTAGCCTCCTCTAGGGAGTTTTTTCAGAAGGAGGTTCTCCCTCATCTGTCTGATCTTTGAAGTTCAGCCCAATCTTTTGCAACGTGCAGTTGTTTACCACCTTGCTCAGATCAATATCAATTTTCTTTCTTTGTGTTCGGTGCAACAGAAAGAATCTGCGGCTTAGCTTTGAACAAACACTACAACCAGTGTGAAACTGCCAAGCGCTTCAAATCGAACATACACATTTTTCCACACAGACTGTGGGCATTATAGGATTTTTGGTCCCCTCAGTTGGTCTTTAACTCCAATACTTTTAGGAATTGCTGATGACACTTCAGTGGTATTGTGTAATTGGTATGAATGGTGTATTTATCCGCTTGCGTTCTCCATTATAACACTCATTTTATTCTCCGTTTGTTCTTGTCACCCGGTCTAGCCTGTAAGTGCAACGGTCACGCAAACGTATGCCAGGTGTTGACGGGGAAGTGCTTCTGCACCACCAAGGGCATCAAAGGAGACCAGTGCCAGCTGTGAGTACACCAGGAACACACACACAGAAAACTTCAATTGAACAAGTTAAAATGAACTCTGCTGTGCTGTCATTTGCAGACAGAGCTCACAAGACAAATCCAAGCTTTGAAATGTTCTTATAACATTTCTAAAAAAAAAAAAAAATAATGTTATGGTTCATCAGAGCTTGCAGTTAACCATGTGTTGCATTCTTACTTGTGCTCATTATCATTTTAGTATCAGGCTCTCTTTTTACTGTGATCTTAAATTAATAAAATCAAAAATATATATACAAACAGAAACGATTATCACACCGTCCATCTGGAGTGAGTTTTGGGCAGGTAACGTAGTGTTTAATTGTTCATTTTTTATTATTTTCACTGATAATTTTTATATTTTACTGTGATTTTATTATCTTTACTGGTTCATCTGGGTCATTACTCATCCTGGACATTACAGAACAGTAAAGAAAAGTGGACTGGGTCATATCGGTGTGTTAGTAATTTGTAGTAAAACGTGCTTTTGTTAGTAAATTACATTACATAGCAGATTTTTATATTAAATTAGCTTTGGAATAGTAATAGACATCATCGTAGTGACTTGAGCTGAATTTTGTCATAGATATATTTAGACTTAGAAAAGACAAACGTGATCTGATTTGGAGTTGGTTAACTTTGACTTGTGGCATCTGCTTGTTTCATCATATGATGGGGTTCTTTGTATTTTTACAATTTAATTATAAGCGTTGATGTCAAATCCCTGTAAGCAACTATTTTTAATATGCTTGTCATAAGGCGGACTTATTATGGTATAGTCTCCATCCATTCAGCCGTTTGTCTTTAATGCACCATATGCGGCACTTTTTTTTTTTTTCATGGCTAATCAAATGCAGCCGAGTTGGTAAAACCAAAGTAAAGATCCGTTTCCATTAACAGACAGAAAGTCCACCTCTTAAAATTTTTTGCTGACACTGTGTATTAACAGCAGCGTAGGAGGGCCATTTCTTTTTAAGCTGTCTCTTTTCTCACTTGTAAGCAGAAAGGATGCTGGTTTTAATACCATAATGCAGTAAGAGTTATGAAGGGGTACTGGCAACTTGAACACGCATCCACACACATTGGAACAAATTCACCTCATAGATGCTTTTTTTTCTTTAAAGTCTGCCAACGTCATTTAAAAAACAAGCAAACTTGGTTTTAACTTTAGTTTTTGAGTTGTGTGTTTTATCCTCGCATGTTTCATACTGCATTAATTTAAATTTCTATTATGGTGGTAAAAAATGAATTTTGTGTTCACTGAAATTATTTTTTTCTTCACAATTCTTCAACGTACTATTTTATGTTTTACTACATAAATACATTTAATAACCCAAAGCTGTCCTTTAGGAAATTTATAATCTCCTTCCTGCTTGTCAGGACTTATAGTAAAATAGATTCTGGTATATTTAAAAAAAAAAAAAAAAAAAAAAACAGAAAAAGACACAACTGTTTACGTTTTTCTTGGAGAGGTGGTGATTTTTTTTTCTAGTTGTACAGTTGTGACTTTAATATTTAACCTTAAATTTCCCTGAACATTGCACTGTCTGACCCTGGGGTGAATTTGCTGGAAAGATTTGCAACCGTCTCAAATGTTCAAAACTTTTGAATCTTTCTCTCTGTAGAATGGTCGACTCCAAATAGTTTAGAAATGACCTTTAACCCTTTCCAGCTTGATGGGTAGCAGTAATTATTTCTTCACGATCATTGCTGATTGCTTTCCATCTTAGTGTTGTGTTAACACAAACCGGTATGCTTCAGAACAACACACTTCCAAAAGTCCTGCTCTTTTAGAGGTGATCACACTGATGATCAGTTCACCAAGTGGTGAGAAAATCAGTTTGTTTCTGTACACTTGGGTTTAGATTTGGATCATAGAACCCAATAAAGATATTTTATTAAGATAAAAGATGAGATAAGATAGAACTTTATTGATCCCGCAGGAAATTATTGTGCCAGAGTTTCAGTACAAAGGATCATACACAAGAATCACAAGATATAAAAATAACCGAGAATATAAAAAAAAACAACAGAGAATATTAAAATGTCAACAATTAAGTTCTAAACAGGTGCAGACAGAATTATTAAAGTGTTTATTGTGGTGCAGGATTAATTTTATTGTCTTAGAAAGGGGGAGGAGTTGAAAAGTTTGATATTCACAGGGAGAAAGGACTTCCTGTGTTGTTCTGTGGAGCACCTCGGTGGTCTCGGTCTACGACTGAAGGTGCTGCAGTAAGAGTCCAGGGTGTCATGCAGGGGGGGTGACGTGTTGTTCAGGATCTGGAGCAGTTTCCTCAGCATCCTCTGCTCAGACATCACTGTCAGAGACTGCAGGTCCACTCCCAGAACTGAACCAGCTCTCTTGATGAGTTTATCGAGTTGGCATCAGCTTTCTTCGACCCTGCTGCTCCAGCACACCACAGCATAGACGATGCTGGAGACCACCATGTGGTAAAACATCTGCAGCATGGTCCTGTAGATGTTAAAGGACCCGAGTCTCCTCAGAAGAAAAAGGTGACTCTGCCCTTTCTTGTATAGTGTTAGCTGTCCAGTCCAGTTTATTGTCTAGGTGGACCCACAGGTACTTGTAGCAGTCCACAGTGTCCACCTTAGTCCCTTTGATGTTGACAGGGTTGAGGGGGCTGATCTTCTTCCTGTAGTCCACCTGCAGCTCTTTAGTTTTTCCAACGTTGAGATGCAGGTGGTTCTGTTCACCACACCTCTGTATTCAGCTTCCTGGTCATCAGTGATGCAGCCCACAATGGCAGTCATCCGAGAACTTCTGCAGATGCAGGATTGTGAGTTGTACCTGAAGTCCGAGGTGTAGAGGGTGAAGAGGACCGTCCCCTGAGAAGCCCCTGTGCTGCTCAGTATGTATTACGTTCTGATGTAAACCCTAGAACTGAAAGAAGGCAGACTTTCATTTCACTGCAAGTGTAAATAATGGAATTACTTTCTATATTTGTATAGGAGTGTTAACTCTACAGGAAATGTTTAAAGAAATAAAAAGAGAGTAAAGCAAGATATCAAGTATAAGAGTCAATTAATTGCTTTTTTCACACTTGACAAAGTATCACATTGATTTCTTTTCACAGACAGAATGCAGTGCAGGACACTGATCAACTTCTTAAAAAAATACTAGTGTACATGTGCACAAAATACACGCGTGCCATGCAAACCTTTGCAAAGTACATATACTGGCACCACAGATGCCGTTAAAATCTCTAAATAATAGCTGTAATGATGAAGGAACTGGTGCAGAATAATAATTGTTTCTGGAGAAAAAAGATGACGTCTGTGGTGCGCTACAGTGATCAGTCATCAGGAAATATTTTTCTGTAGCGCTCACTTGGATTCATACTTTAATCAGGAAACGTCTGATGGGGGGGGGTACAGCAGTAACGAATGTTGAGTCGGCTAGATATTGTTCAGGTTCTCAGCACATTTCTTTCTTTGCATGTGTGTTTATGGTGTGCACGGGCACAGAAACACTTTCAAGCTGAGTGTAGATCAAATTAAGATACAGTGAAGGGGATTGCCTGAGGTTTAGATGTGTGCATGGATGCATGCAGGTGTAGATTAAATTAAGATACTGTGTAGAAAAGCTGAATTATACCAATGAGCATGTGGGGTTTTGAGTGTTGCCCTCTACACACGCCAGGCTGTTGAAGTACTCCAACAGTGAGGTTCTTTAGGGTTTAGAAGCCATAGGTGGCATTTCTCTCTCTGTTCTTTGTACCGTGGTAAAAGATCACCCAACTCCACTGTTTTTCCTTAATGTTCACTGGACCATATTTTTGTCCGTCACCACGGAGTGAAGAGGGGAGATTGGAAATACCTGGTCTGTTCATGTTGAGCATGATAACTTGAAAAACAAGTGAGGTACTGACTTCCAGTTTGGTGTGTGGCTACATCTAGATATAAAAAGATTCCTTTCAAAGACTGGGTTACCATGTCAAAATCCAAGATGGCTGCCACCATATGTGTATATACTGTATGTAAGATGTGCCAGGATATCCTTGTAAAAGAGATTAATAATCTCAGTGGATTTATTTCATGGTTTAAAAAGGTTAAAAAAAGAAGTAAATATTGTGAGCTGGACAACTTAAAAAAAAAGCAACTTTCATTCATTGCCAACTTTCATTGTGGTGTGTGGGTGCATGTACATGTAAAAATTCATTATCAAAAATTGGGTTGCCAAGTCGAACTCCAAGATAGCCACCACCCCGTCAGCACTGACGTAGCACTAAGCTATCGGTGCGCAATACAGGCACGCTAGCTAAAAAGTTAAAGTTAATGGCAGCGCTCCCACCCCTACTCGAAAACTGTCGGTACAAACAGCGTGCAGCTCAGACGTGTCTAAACAAACACCCCCCCAGTCGACAAAAATCACAGATGAGATGAGCGCCCCGCCATGGCAAGTCATCGGAGGGAAATGCTGCTGGTCTCCATAAGGTTCAAGTCTCGTTGCTGGGTTAGGTATGTACTGGTAATGGTTAGGTTTAGGGTTAGATATGTACTGGTAATGGGTGGCTGAAGATTTATCTATGGTGGCCAAGGCCACCAATGGCCAACCCTGGCTCTTCCATTGTGCCTGGTCAAGGATAAAACTGCTCCCTTCACTCACCAGGATCTGTCACTCAGTGCTGCTTTGGTCAAGCAATAAATAAATTAATTACAATTTTAAAAACGATTAAAAAAACACCACTTTTCTTATATACAGCGCAACTCCTACCCACTTGAATGTCTTGCATCAAAAACGTTAAGTATGATCACTCCACTTTCATTCCCTGTTCAATTCCAAACCAGAAAAAACACTCCTCTCAAAATCTACAAACATTGATTATTCAAATCCCTCAGAAGCAGGGGCCATCAGCGTACCACTTGTCTTTTGTTTTTCATACTGACACATTCTGATGGCATATACAGTCGATAATATTAAAGATCTTGAAATAAGTTTGGTGTCACACAGTCTGTCCTGCAAATCAGAAATGTTGGTGAATTATTTTAAGCGTTCAAGTCATCACCTTTTCCAGTAACAAGCCGTACTGCCACCTCCCCCTCAGTGGCGTTCGCATCTCTCAGCCTGCTTCCCTCCAGAGTTCACCGTCCTCTCAGACTCCTCACACCGCCTCTGTTTTTTCACAACTCGACAAGCTTAATTGGTCGTAACGTAAAATCACTGCAAAACTAAAATAAGAATAAATGTCATTTTAGAATCATTTAGACGTTTTTCCGCCTTCTTTCCGTTCTAGTGCATCAAACAGAAGAAAAACAGCAGGGAGTGATGACAGAGGAGTTCATAGTGAATTGTTGACAGTTGAGGGCATCAAAGATAAAAGAGAGATGAAGGAGATAAAGAACAGTGCAGTCCAGTGAACAGTGCCATATGCTCCTCTTCATTAGAAGGTTTTGGAACGGCACGCACCTAATAAAACATTCATTATCAGACAGTTAAAGGCTTTCTGTGATACTGTACTAGTTGAGCAAACGGCAGAACCACTGTAGATGTTTTAATCCTGTTTGTGTCACTTTTTATGCTTATTGGAAAAAAATAATATCAAACATTTTACGTCAAAATTCACTAACCTAGATGTTGCAATGATTTTTGTTCAGGTGAAGCTATTTAAAGCAAAAATGTTTCCCATTTATGTTTTTTTTTTTTGGTTAACTTTTTACAGGCACAGATCATATCCCTTTTTTGTAAACACCAGAAAAAAAATCACTGTTTTAAAGGCTTTTAAAAAGAACTTCCCACAAAAGATCCCCAAATAATGTAAAATACACTTCATATACTTCATATTTTGGTTGTATGATGTTGTTCAAGGCAAAATTTGTAATAAAAAAAAAACAATGGAAATTAGTTTTCATGTTACAAACTGCCACCTTTTTAATTTTATTTAGCCTATTTTGAATTAGGAGAACAACGTAATTGATGATGCTTGTTGTCCAGTGAGAACCAATGTAAAATATAGATCTGGTGTCAAATCATGTAATGGTTTTAACATTGAATTAAAAACTAGGAAATTCATCTTTATGTTTAATAAAATTAACATTTGCCATTTAAAATAATAACATAGTTTACTGTAAAGTAAGTGAAGATTGTAAAGTGTTTAAAATCTGTGAAATTATGTACTTTTTTCTCTCCTGTCTATAGTCGTTTGTGAGATTTTTTAAAATATATTATTTATTTTGTTTGACAAAATATCAAACTTATCAATGTTTGTTTTAGATGGACCAAATACAACTTTAACTTATTTATTTATTTTTTTTAAATATTCTCTCATTGTTGTAATTTTTACTAAAATATGTAATAAGAATAAACTAATTTGATTTGGGGAGTGGTGGCGCAGAGGGTTGGAGAAGGAGCCAGGAGGTGGAACACCTGGAGAGCTGGTGCAAAGAGAATAACCTTCACATCAACGTGAAGAAGACAAAGGAGATGATCGTGGACTTCAGAAGGAACAAACACACCTACACCCCCCTGAACATAAGAAGATCTGTGGTGGAAGTTGTCTCCAGCTACAAGTACTTGGGTGTACACATGAATGACAACCTCAGCTGGAGCAGCAACACCACAAGCCTGATCAAGAAAGCTCATCAGAGACTCTACTTCCTCAGGCGGTTGAGACGAGCTGGTCTGGGAAGCTCAGTCCTCACCTCCTTCTACAGGTGTGCAGTGAAGAGCATCCTGTGCTCCAGCATCAACGTGTGGCATGGAGGCTGCACAGCTGCAGAAAGAAAAGCTTTGCAGAGAGTAGTGAAGGCTGCACAGAAGTCTGTTGGAGTCAGTTTCTCTACCATCACAAACATCTACACCTCTAGATGCAGGAAGAGGACCACCTGCATCATGAAGGACCCCACTCACCCAGCACACACACTTTTTGCCCCGCTCCCCTCAGGAAGGAGGTTAAGGAGCATTAAGTGTCACACAGACTCATGTTCGTGCTGCTGTTCGACATAATGTTTTTATGTTATTAGTGCTTAGTGCATTATTTAGCTGTTCTTTTCTTTGTTCCTATCTTAGATCTTATTAATGTTTTTCTTTTACATTTTATTGTTGGATGTAGCTGGGACCCTGTGTACATAATTTCGTTCCACCACATGTATCACATGAGATGCGAATGACAAATAAATCTCTCTGACTCTGTGACAGTGGGCCTGTGATTGGAAGATTGCTGGTTCAACTCCTGGTACTGACAACATCAAAATGTGGGTGGGATAGGTGAAACACCCACACCTGTCTCCTCCCTCATTTGCTCCACTCTGGGCCCTTGAGCAAGGCCCTTAACTCCCACCAACTGCTCCCCCGGGTGCCCTAGGTTGCAGCTCTCTGCTCTACACAGAGGGCTGTGGCAGCTCAGTGGTCTTGGTTGTGTCAGGAAGGGCATCCGGTGTAAAAATAATTGCCATGTCTTCGTGCCACTTAGTTCACTGTGGCGACCCCTGAAGAGGTGAGCAGCCAAAAGAGAAAAAAATAACAAACAAATAAACTAATTCAATGTGTAGTGGCAAGTGCTCCAGTTGTCCATGTAAGCTAGTGCACGTGGGTTTGTGCAGTCCATAACATAAAATCTTCCTGATTTTATTCAAGTAAATAGTCTGTAATCTTTATCTTAAAATCACCCCATAAAAAGGATGATATCAGCATCAACCTTGTTTTAATTTTCTATAAGAAAGATATTTATGAGCTGAACAACAGGCTCCATATCAGGTTTTTTGCAGTTTGGCTACTTGTACTTTAAACAGATTCTGTTACTTCTGTAGATATGTTATGGCATTATATTCCACCTCTAATTATAAGTTCCAGGTTATTGTGACTTTATTCTTCTGGCTCATTTTATTTAACAAGTCAAGGGATAGAAAACTTGACCCTGAATGGCAAATTAAAGCAAGCCTCCTGCAGCTCACCAAATGACTTTTACACAAATTATTTCAGACGGCTGGTTTCAAGAAAAATTAGTTGCTTTTTTTTTTAACCTCCTGAGATCCAAGCTCTGGTTTGCGATGCATTTTTCATATCTCCTAGATATTTGTGATTAGATGGACCTGATTTGTGTATAAATAAAGCTTCCTCTTTGAACAGGAAGTTGTATTTTGTTACATGGTTATGTCATACTTAAAAAAAGAGTCCTCAGATGGGGACAATAAGCTTATTTTACAGCATAACACAACAACATTAACATGGCTTAACAAAGTATAAAACACTATTGAACAGTATGAAGTATAAGGTACAGCAAAGCCAAAATGTAATGTCCCCATATGTGAACGCAGGGTCTCAGGAGGTTAAAGTTTTCATTTCTAAGCAGTGTGAAGATTTGAATGTGGAGCTCTGATCAGATCCATGTCTTTAAACTTGGTGTAGCTGTGGGCTTTCCACAACCTGTTTTGAACTTTCTGTTCTCCACCCACTAATTGCTGATCTCTAAAACACGAGAACTACTCCCTTTTGTGTTTTATTCATTAAAAAGTGTTTTCTTGAATCAGTAGCTCCTGTTTCATGTTGCTGTTGCTTTAATAAACAAAAGTTCAAGAAATTCCCCAAAACTTTTCCAAACTATCACATTGATTGCTTTTTGTCAGATCTCGGAGTCTCGATGAGACGCCATCAGCAGGAGCTCGCGTTGGCACTTGGCGCTCACAGCACCTGATAAGAGACATTTTTGCGATCAGTCTGTTAGCACTCATCTGCCTCTTGTTGTCTCCTTTTTTGTTTTCTTCCCTGCAGATGTGACTCAGAAAACCGTTACCTTGGCAATCCGCTCAGAGGAACCTGTTACTGTGAGTCATTCCCCACTGGACATCTCCTCTCTAAGGAGACAGCTCATACGTTCTCACACATACACATGCACACATTACTGGCTATTCTCTCTCTCTGCTTTTCCTTCTCCTCTTTACTTCTCCGCTTGCACTCTTCCGCTCGAGGCAGATGGTGCATCTTAGCACCTTGGCACCAGGGGCGCTTGTTCGGTGACAGAATGACTTGTCGTGAAAATGTCAAGTGCGTCAGAGAGAGTGAGTGATTGAGCTAATCAAGGAGACAGAGGAGTAACATTTTTCCACTTGTCTACTCACTCAGTCATGCACCTATTCATTAATTCATTCCCAAAGTTGGCTAAATGATAATGTGACTCGTAAAGCAAAAAAGAAAATCTGTGGAAGTGCTTACGTAAAGCTATCCCTCTGTGCCGAGTGGCGGCACACGTCTGCTTCTGTATCTGCGCGTGCTGTAGACAGTGGTGTTTGTTCTTTGTGTGCTTACTTGCACGATGGAGTGTCCTTCACGGTGCCACAGTTGGACTTTGTGAGTTGTTATCTGCCTTTCAGCACTTTTCCACTGACATCAGAGCCTTTGCCAAGGTTTTGTTCCTTTTTAAAATGTCATAGCCTGACAACAGGCTCACTGAGGATGAAGAGACAAGAAACTAAAAGCCCAAAGCTTGTTTTAACCTCTGGACACCACTGGAACTCTTTGAGCGTTCTTATGCAGCACTACAAACATGACACCCCCTGCAGACAAAAAGGCCACTAAGCTTAGACGAACGGAGTGCACAAACTTATTCAGCTTCGCCATACTTGATATTTGTGACTTCTTGCTGCTGATAAATGATCATTTTTGCTTGTTTTACTGGCTTTCAGACATCTGCAAATACTGTGAATGCCTTTAAAAAGTTCGGAATAGGAGTCTCTGAACAGAAAACGCACTACAATTTTCTGAGCCTGTAGAAAATGATATACTGTCTGCCAGTGTGATCACTGTGCACGTAGTCTAATTTTCTTGTCAAAATGCCAGCTACTGTCACGAATAGACAACAAACATTCATGATACAAATTTGCTGCAAACCTGCATGTTTTGTAGATCATTCCTTTGTACAAACTTATATGTAAATAACACAGGTCCTTGTCACTGGGTTATAGATAGATAGATGTATATTTTATTGTCCCCAAGGGGAAATTTGTCTTGGACATCGTGTTGTCATACAAAAACAGTGCCTCTCATCTATCATTGCCTTTTATATTGGTGAGTTGTTTTGATGGAATGGCCGATGTCCGATATTCAGCTTTATTGCTAATATCGGCTGATACCATGCCGATAATATCGTGCATCACTAACCTTAAATCCCATATTTCTGCTTGTATGAACAGCATTTTCTTTTAACTCTCAGCTTTTACAATATATAATCTTGTCTCTTCTATTAAGAGTCCACAAAGTTGTACCTGGAAGCTGAGGTAGGTCTTTTTGTGTCTCACGTTTTAGATAATCTCTTGATCGACTACCAGTTCACGTTCAGCCTCATCCAAGAAGATGATAATCATTACACTGCCATCAACTTCATGGCCTCACCTGAGCAGGTAACTTGTTTAAGAGGACATGTCGTGACTCCTAACTTGTTTTTCTTTGTAGAACTGAAACGCACCATTCGTTCTTGTTTAATAACAATAATAATAAAACTAATTTATGTATGCTTAAATCTTAGAAACTTTACATTATTTTGTACATAAGTTTTTTAGCATTTGTGTTTACTTTTGCTGTATTGGTCTCCTGGATTTAGGCAAACAAGAACCTGGACATGTCCATCAATGCATCAAACAACTTCAACCTTAACATCACGTGGTCGGTGGGGTCAACAGGTAGACTTTGCAGTTTCAGTTATTTTGTTATAGAAATGCCTTGTTGCACAAATTGAACATATTGACCAATATTAAACTGTCTTATTGCTTTGATTATTTTTTATATTCATTTAGCCATTTTAGTTGAGAAAAAAACAAACAGCAAAAGTAAGTTTTGTGGTAATTATTTTTACGGATTATCTGTAATAGTCTAAATAAGGGCTGCACAATACATCTAAACTTATTCCCGTTGTGATATTAATGTTTGCTGGAGCTGCATAAAATTTGAAAAACAACTGATGTGCACTATTATTGTTTAACATTGTAAAAACATCATCAACTGTGATTAACCCTCATTTCCCAGACCAAAAACATGCATGTTAGTCTTTCTTCAGGCCCAGGCCTCCCTTGCAAAAGAGATCTGCTCTCAATGGGATTTGCCTGGTTAAATAAAGGTTAATAAATAAATAAAAAATAAAAATTCCCTCACTCCTCACTTCAGTCACCACTAACATCTAAACCAGGTATGAGCATCAAGATCGGTGAGAGTCTGTTGGATTGACCAAATCTACAAGTTAGATGTATTCCCACCGCTAGTTGGAATGACTCTCCGTCACATTTTGCAGTACACTGAAAACTGCAGATTATCGGATCATAGAAAGCCGAACAACTTCCACACCGTCGAGTGAGTATTTCCTCTCTTATCAGTTATGTCATCTGCTTTCTCTTCACTTGTGAAAGCTTGTTCAGTCACATTCTGATGGTCATGGCACTCATTTTGAAAAGAAAACTTAATTCACGTTGGAGCGTAGCCTAGCCTAGCCTGCTACCACTGACTTCTTCTGGACTCTAGCTGTGCTTCACTACGCACTTACATAGTTGTGTCGTGACTTTCTGTTTGGGTTGAAATGGCCGGTGGCTTCAACTCGAACAGAAAAAGAAACATGCCGGTGAAACACTGTAATCATAGTGTACTGTATATTGAAATATAGAAAATGTGCTTAAAACTCATATCACCATTATTGAATAAAAGTATATTGTGATATATATCAATATCGAATTATTGTCCAGTCCTAGTGCTATATAAGTACAGTCCATATACCGTTTATCTCAACATCATCAAGGACTGCTTACCATTCATTCAGATTATATTTGGATAATCATACTGACCCATTTTACACCAGGCGCTCAAATTGTCCCCATCTATTAACTTGCATTTGGATTGAACCAAATACAGTTGGTACGACCTCAATAATGTGCATTGAAAACATTTTTCCTTAAAATACCTTTGGGAGGGTTGGGGTGGGGTGTGTGTGGTCTGGTCTGGACCTGTTTTGTCCACACACAGAATGGTGAATTGACATCCGATCACAAAGACGTCTTAGATTAGCATTTACCTGACAGGCGTGAATGCTCTGTCAGAGCTGATCACTTGCAACTGAATTATCCAATACTGATATATAATGCCAGATATGACCAGGGCCATAGATCCTCACTGTTCTTGATGATTATTTAGATGATTTGTGGTTGATTGTCGTGATGGCAAAACAAAAGAGCAGAAGTGGAGAAAATGTGGATTTATTGCAACCAATACTGTTAGCACAATATCACATTTCAACAAGATCACAATTGCATGTTTTTCTGGTATTATGCAGCCCAGCTAGTGAATTAAGTTCAATTTAATTTTCTTACTAACGCTGGTCCACAAACCTTTTAATACGTCAAATTCTACACCAAAGGAAATGGTTACCTTGACCAAAAATACTTTACATCTTCGATAAACATTTGTCCAAAGCCAACATTACTAACTCCTGTCTTGTAGGTGTTTACAGTGTCACATGTTATAGGTCTCCTGAGGAAAGACACCCAAGGACACTGCAGTCCAGTGTTTATCGTTTGTCCTTCCTTTCGTACAAGTCATCTGGCCCTCCGCTTTCCCCACAACGCTGACATTTCCTGGCCTCTAAAACACGTTAACCTCACGCGCTCCTCCCCGCCACCATAACCTTTTCAGAGCGCCGTCATTAATATTTGAAGTTGGGTCCCCTTTCTTCTGCAAAGATATTGTGTCTCAGAAGGAATAGGAGCCTCTTCACAATTGACGAGAGCGTGAGGCGCCTTTAGGTGGGAGGAGGCGGGAGGATGGAGGAGGAGGAGGGTGGGGGTGATTTCAATTAAGATAAACATGCTCACGTAGCCACATTCAAGCTGTCATTTTCACTGCTTTTGTTTCAGAGCTGTGGGTTGGAATATCAATGCTGCAAAACCACTGACATGAAGAAGGATGAGAAATGACTTGGAACATTCGGACAGATGGGAAATTGACAATTTTTATAGAGTTTTACTTAAAAAATAACATTAATTCTGGATATTATTATGGGTATTAAGAATTTAGACCATTGTTACACTCAGCTGGATAAAATAAAATTCATATACATAAAAAAAATATACAACTAGTTACTATTTGTAGTTGTAAGCTGGGCCTCATGTGAACATTCGGCTCTTAAGTTCCAGAGGCCAAACATACTAAAGTGTTGGAGATCTGAATTAAAGAGGTAAAAGTGTGGTTTCCAACATTTTAGTCTTTTTTTTTTTTTTTTTCCAAAATTAAATACAATAAATGAGTAATTCCACAATCATGCTTCACACTTTTTTTTTTTTCTTTTGGTTGTTGTCATTGGAAAATAAGTTAAATGCAGTTGGTAAATAACAATAATTGCCATTGAGTGGTTTCCTGTTGTTCAAAAATGGCTAAACAAATCCATTAATGCATTCATAATAACATGTTGCAGCCAAAGCAGCTCCCGTTCTCTGTGTGTAAGCTGTTTGAAAGCTAAATGACATTGTGCTGACAATGAACTCTTTATCCCAACAGCTGGAACGATCTCCGGAGAGGAGGTGCCCATTGTGTCCAAAACAAACATCAAGGAATACAGAGACAGCTTCTCCTGTGAAAAGTTCACCTTTAGAAGCAACCCCAACATTACCTTTTATGTTTACGTCAGTAATTTCTCATGGCCAATCAAGATCCAGGTAAGGACTCGTACAATAGCATATTTTACAACGCTATGTAACTTTTTTTTAACTCCCTTTAGAAAAATGTGGCAAAGGATTTGATTAGTAGATCAGTGGAAAAATTAACACTAAAGAAGTATTGCCTGTCTGCTTTTAGTGGTTTTAAAATTTCAGAACAAACATCTTTGACAAATACTAATCAAGCAAAACTAAAATTAAATCACACTTTATTTATTGTGGAACATGACAAAAGAGAAAAACCTACAAGGATTAACAGCAAAGTCAAAGACAAAATGACGTGTTGAAATCAGGTCTCTCTTGTAAATGAGTCCTCGAGGCTCAATGGGATTAACCTGTCTAAATAAAGGTTGAATGAATAAATGAATGAATGAATGAACGTGTTTCCAGTCTGTTGCAGAAGAGGTTCAAATGGACGATATCTCTTGAGGGCTGCAGAAATGAGTTGTTGGTGCTGGAAATGTTTGCAAAATCAACTATTAAACACAAAAATGAAGAATGTTCAAGACTATTGCTTGTTACTATCCTTCTCAGGAATGTGAACAAGTAAAAAGTCTTATCAGCCTATATTCTGAGCAAACGCCAAACAAAAATGTCGCCATCTAAAAAACTATTGTCCTTTCTCATGTATCAATAAAATAATTTAACCGAAGCTATTAAGCAAAACTAAACATATTTTCTAAAAGCATTTCATATTTAGTTGCTAAGATATAGTAAATATTCAGATAAATATGTATGCTGTTTATCCCAAAAGTTCCATAATGATGACTGTCACTTCTGTGAAACATGGTGGCGGTAGTATCATGATTTGAGACTTATTTTGCTGCCATTGAACAGCGACAAGACATTTCTAAAGTTTATGTATTTTCATTTGGAACAATTATTTATGGAAAAATATCTTTGTGACGGTGAATTTATGGTTCTATGTCTTCTTAATTGCACGCTTGACCACAAATTGTACGACGTGAACTCTGTGTTATACTTTCCTGAACACAAGGCTCTGCTAAGTCGCTCAGCTGACGACAGCGGAGGCTCCACATTTAGCTAATTTATCACACAAGGCTCACAACAACACACAAGCTTTTTCTGGTGAGAAATTGCTCACAAATTTGTTCTTCTGGTGTATTGAACAGTCAAACCAGCACATTTTCACCGCCTGTTAGGTCACTGTGAAAACTACAGATCTTGAATTGGACGCTGTGCGAGTATGACAACAAGCGTGCATGAGTCAACAAGCTTTAATAGCTTTATCGAATGAGGGAAAATATAGCAAGTTCTGTAGCAAGACTAAAAAGACAAGTTGCTCTATTAAAATTAAGTGTAATGATAATGTTTTGGGACAAATATGCAAAGTCATGACCTTCATCGATAGAACTGAAACAGACAGTTTGTGAGGAAAACAGAGGAAGGAACCCAAATTCCTCTCTTCTGATCCAAAGTTAAGAACTTTATTGCCATTAAGGCAGCAACTCGATGTGTAAACTATCATTACTGCAGCTGTTCATGTTATAAGTTTCATTAAAAAAAGACAGTAGTATAAAATGTGTTCACTTTTTGTTGTATTTGTCTCTTTGTCAGTAATGTAGAATATTATGAGATATTCATCAACTCCCAAGCACCACAGTGAGCCAAAACAAAGCAAATAAAAACAAAACACCCCTACAACTTATTTAATGAATTACTACAATAATATAAGGAGGTTTTTGTTTTGACAGTGCATCAGAATTATAACTCGACTCTGCAGCGGCAGTCTTCCTACTCCTATAACACATTTGTCTAGCAAAAAGCGAAAGCCCTTACAAAGAAATATAATACAGCGAGATAACAGTGATTCCTAATAATGGTACACTGAAACCATTTTGCTAATTAGTCCACTCCCAGATATTGATTTTTATATTGTGTCCCACCATTTCACATGGTAGATGAGTGAGACCACCTTGGAGTAATAACATCTTTGGGTTTGGTCCATCTATGGAGGTGGCACAGTTATCGATTTTTTTATTAAATTCTCCGGCCAACAGTCACTTACTTATTATAGACTGAGTCTGAGCTGTAAAAGCAAATAGCTTCTGTAATGGGATAAGGGCTCTTTTCTTGTTTGGCCTTATGACGCGGGGCAATGAGCGGTTGAGATAAGGCAACATTTGAAAATGCACTCTTTGTTTTTAGGGTTAAGCACAGGCAATAAAATATGAACCAAGATAAGGAAACGTGCTATCGGAGGTGAGATCTTTCAGTGACATCATCATTTGTGTAAGTGGAATTCAAGTGACTGCTCTGTTCAATAACAGTTATTCTCCAATAAAAAATAGCCTTAAATTGATGCAATCTATAGGCTGAGATGGACAAATTGAAACGGAGTTTACTTTTATTGCTTTGAGCTCATGTGAAAAGAACAAAATGTCTCGTTTATTTAAAAAAACAGACAGCAAATCATCTGTACTTTTCTTGTTAGCCATGTCAGTGAGCATCACGTTTCAGATCAGCGAGTCTCATTTTCTCGTTAATAAGGTTGAAAAAGTCAAAGGTGGCAGAAGTTCGGGAGGGTAATGGAGTTGTCAGTGAAAGACTTGAGTACAATGAACAGTCTCAGCATAAACATACACATTCTTCTTTTCTGAAACCAAGATATTTAGATTCTCTATAGCTGATAATAATGGTATGTAGATTTGCCTGTGAATTGCTGCAGTACTAAATCAGTGCCTTTCTTCTCTTAAAAAACACAATCGCCTGGTTTTATGCCTTTATCAATTCATCAGCATCAAAGTGAAGCAAATAATCCACCTCTAAAAGCATAAATTGTGCTCCATTTCCCAACCCTACATGTTACCAATCAGACACTCTAAACAGCTGTAGATGACTTTGTGTTTGTGAGTCTAAATGCTTTCCAGGCAAAAATGGCTTCAAAACATCTGTAGTAGATAATGACTTGTCACTGTGATGCGGCCTATCATACATGATTTTGCTGCCAGGGCTGCATGTAATCTGTCCTTTAATGAAGATGAAACATCTTTCGAGCTTAATATTCACTGGCCATTTTACATTTTATACATGAATATAAGGTAAAGGAAGTCCTTGACAGGGTTTGGTATTAATAAGAATCATGTTCACGTTTGATTTGCCTGTACTACGTTTGTGTTTGCATCTATAAGTGTAGGAAAACTGAAGCTTTTACACTTAGGATTAATTTGATCACTTCTGTCCTCATATTTAACCACTTCTGATCCAGTGTCAATGTTTCACGTGACCTCATGCAAAAGGTTTGACAGATGCATGGCTGTCCAGTTCAGCTCAATAGTTTTGTTTTTACAACATTCTGGTACAAGTTCACACAAGTGTTAGCTGCGTAAATAAGGATTTTTAAATACCTTTCTGTTTTGGGGCTTTGAATCATATGAATTTGCTCTGATGACCTATTCCATTTATGATAGACTAAAAAAGGCATTCCTGTCTCTATCAGAGTGGTTTTACTTGGCAGGATGTTTTAAAGAGGTATGCCTTTGAAAGAATCCTTTGGTCATCATCTGTGGATGTTTAGGACTTTTATGCTGCAGACTCCATCAGTGTTTCCTCAGAAATATGTGGGTATAAATTTTTAATCATTCAGGATATAATAAGACAGATGGACTTTTTTTTTTTTTTTGGTCTTTCCCTTCACTTCTGGATTAAAAGCAAAAGTGTATTCACGAATCAAAAACAAAGTCCAGCTGAACAGATGTTTATCATTTTATAGATCTATCCAGAACAAACTAATCCAAATACTAGTCATATCTCAACTCATTCTTTTACACCACGTACAACCCGCTGATTAAAAATTTATTCTGTTTTGTTTTCTGCTAAATACTTCTTTTATTATCTCCTGCTAAATTCCAACACAGTGTTTTCTTTTGACAGTTTTAGTAGCAGGGCCTCCAGTGAGTCAGTGACCTTTAGCAGGTCCATTTTGTTCATAGAGCTTACTTGACCTGTAGATGCCATTTCATATTAACCTCCATACAATGTCAAATGTCAACTAGGAGAATTCAGTCAGAACTCACTGGAGGTTATTAAAGGGGATAATGTTTTTATTTTTGTATGAATAAAAATATTGTGAACACGTGCACTTCTTTGGCACAACAATTTTTATTGTGGACTGCCATTTCCTCGATGCAATGCATAAAAGGCACCTGTTATTCTACACCTAATAAGCGTTTATTTATTGCTGTCAAGTCACATGACAGAGTATAGAGGTCCCTGAAGAAAACAGAAACTCACTGTTGGATATGTTTGAAACTCAGAAAGTAATCATCAGATAAATGTCTAGAAATGATTACCGTTTGGGGCCATTTTGATTCAAGATGGCAGCCACCTCAACAAATACAAAATTGACTATAACTCCATCATTCTTTGAGATATTGAGCTGAAATTAAGTATGGTTGTAGCTGAGAGTGAGTTGTAATACATTCCTAATACAAATCAAATTTTCAAGATGACCGCCTTAGCTAAAAGAGAAAAAAATATACAATAATTCAGCCATTTTTAAAGGTATTGAGCTGAAATTTGGTGTATTGGTAGCTGACAAGGATCCCTAATAGACTCTGACTGAAAATCAAAACTCCAAGATGGCCGCCTAAGCAAAAAAGGAAAAATACTATACATCAGTCAGTTTTAGTGATATTGAGCTGAAACTTGGTGTGATGATAGCTGAGAGTGTTTCCTATCAAGTATTGTATCAAAATCCAAAATGGCCAGTAATGCTACATTTAAATGGCTTTAACTCGGCCATTTTGACACATACAGAGCTGAAATTTGGTGAGGTTATAGCTGAGAACGTTCCCTATCACGTACTGAATCCAAATTACAAATTCAAGATGGCCACTTTAGCTAAAAGAGGAAAAAATGCCATTACTCTGCCATTTTTAGAGCTATTCAGCTGAAATTTGGTATAATAGTAGCTGAGAGCGAACCCAAACACACAATACTGTCAAATCAACAATTTTAATCGGCAGCAGCCTGGCAGTCCCCGTCAAAGTTTCTCCAGGAACTTTCCAGTTATTATTTATTATTTATTCCCATGTTTGTTGTAATTATATTTGTATATATTTTTTTTACATTTGTAGGTTAAATTATAGATTTTAAATGGTGCATAGTATTGACTTGTGTGTGAGTAATATATGCATTTTTGTTTTCCCTCACATAGATTGCCTTCTCCCAGCACAGTAGTATCATGGACCTGGTCCAGTTCTTTGTGACATTTTTCAGGTACGTTTATCAGATATACATAGCACTATGTGAAAAATGTTTATTCCCCATAAATAACGTTTGGGATCATATATGAGCTTTGAAACTTTTTTGCAAAAAGCAGCCCTATACCATTACTGAACCTTCCCCATGTTTTTTTTTTTGAGACTGCAAGAAAGCCAGCCACAGCCAAGTACATCCAGAGTGTAAGGCAAGTCCTTAGGAGCCAACTGAACAGCAAGAACAAAGTCTGAGCCATCAACACGTATGCAGTGCCAGTCATCAGATACCCAGCTGGTATAATAGTCTGGTCAAAGGTGGAGATAGAAGCCACTGACATCAAGACAGGCCCTCAGCACAAGAGCAATTGAGGCAGGGGTCTACCATACCAGTCAAGAGCTAAGATGCAGGCTGTGCAAAGATGCCCATGAGACAGTTCAACACATAACATCAGGGAGTAAGATCCAGGCAAAGCTAACATGGAACATCATAACCATCTGGCTGGAAAAATATACAGGAACATGGGTGCTGAGTATGGACTGGAGGTCCCACAGTCAAAGTGGGAGATGCACCTAGGGTGGTGGAGAATGGAATGGCTAAGATACTGTGGGACTTCCAGATCCAGACTGACTAATGGCTAACCAACCGGACATTGTGGTGGTTGACAAGCAAGAGAAGAATGCAGTGGTGATAAATGTTGCAATCCCAAGTGACTATAACATCAGGAAGAAGGAGCTCGAGAAGCTCGAGAAATGCCAAGAGCTGAAAAGGGATGTCCCAGTGGTCATTGGAGCACTTGGTGCTGTGACCTCCAAACTGGAAGAGTGGTTCCAACAGTTCCCAGGAGCAACCTCGAAGATCTCTGTTCAGAAGAGTGCAGTCCTTGGAACAGCTAAGATACTATGCAGAACCCTCAAACTCCCAGCTCTCTGGTAGAGGGGCCAACTTTGAAGACAAGTAGAACCGCCCAAGTGGAAGAGTAGGGCGAGCTACAAGTAATATATACGTACACACACACACAGATGTGGCCATTTTGGAATTTGATGTAGCAACCAAATTGTTAAGGACCTTTTTAACGTCTAGATGCAGTCACAAACTAAATGGAATCAGCACATTTCTTACTTTTCAAGTTACCCACCTCACAAAGTTAACGTACCATATACATATATGGTGAGCCATCATGGATTTTCACCTGGCAGTGGCAACCCAATTTTCAAATGGAGCTTTTCATATGCCTAGAAGTAGCCACACACCAAAAGGGAATTTGGTGCCTCTTATTTCATTTTAGTTATTATGCTCACATGGATAGACGGACAAATGGACAAAGGGAAAATCCTATTCCCCCTCTGGGCTTCGTGACAGTGGAAAATAAAACCAAGACTAAGGAAAGAGTCAAGAACTATGGTATTCCTTAGGACTAATTTAAAGTAAAGGAGAAAAGCCTTGTTCTTTGGTAACCAATTGTAAAGAAATGAGCTGTACTGGTCTTTTTAGAAAAGCTTTATATAACTGCATACTTTGTTAGACTGCATCAGTCAAGAAACTTTATCAGCCACATCTTTGTTCTCCACTCCTGTCTCTAAGGACTTATTGAGTTGCTTGGGTCTGTTTGCATGTTTTTTAAAAAAGCATGTAAATGTCTTTTGTTTCTTTAAGCCAGTAATTTTCCTTTTCCAAGTGGCAAATTAACTGCCAGTAGCAATTTAAGTAGGTGCATATTTCCCTGCAAGTGCCATCTAAAGAGAAGGCGTGGGTGATGAAGATATGAGAGCTCTTAATGATTTTTCATCCTTAGTGCGGTGACGGAAATCCTTCATCATTGAAGTGTTTAAATGATTCTATTGGGCTGTTGGAAAAGTACATTTGTCTGAGTGCGTAAAGGCAATGTGTACGCAATTTCAGAGTAGATGCTTTTGATTTTATGTTGATGTCTCGGAAAAATCACAGTTTTGCTTCCTGACAATGTGAGGTTCCTGTCATAACCTCTTGGATTGTTGGGTTTTCAGTTTGTAAAAAAAGGTCGGATCTCTAGTTTTTACATCTAACTGTAACCGTGTACAGCCGTTTGTACACTGCCTGGCCAAAAAAAAAGTCGGCACCTAGATTTAACTAAACAAATAAATACGAGCCTCCTATTGGATAATTATTGCATTGGCGATTATCTTCCAGCTTGCAACAAGTTATTTAACCCAAACTGGTGCAATGAGTTGCTTCTCATTTCTTAAACAACCATGTTGAAAGACACATCGCGTGGTCGTGGAAAAGATGTCAGTCTGTTTGAGAAGGGTCAAATCATTGGCATCAAGCAGAGAAAACATCGAAGGAGATTGCAGAAACTACTAAAATTAGGTTGAAAACTGTCCAACACATTATTAAAAACTGGAACGATAGTGGGGACCCATCGTCTTCGAGGAAGAAATGTGGCCGGAAAAATATCCTAAATGATCGTGATCGGCGATCGCTTAAACATTTGGTGAAATCAAATGGAAGAAAAACAACATTAGCACTTGGAGCTATGTTTAATAGTGAAAGTAAGAGCATTTCCACATGCGTAATGCGAACAGAACTCAAGGGATTGGGACTGAACAACTGTGCAGCCTTAAGAAAACCACTAATCAGCGAGGCTAACCAGGAAAAAAAAGGCTTCAATTTGCTAGGGAGCATAAAGATTGGACTCTAGAGCAATGGAAGAAGGCCATGTGATCTGATGAGTCCAGATTTACTCTGTTCCTGAGTGATGGGTGCATCAGGGTAAGAAGAGAAGCAGGTGAAGTGATGTACCCATCATGCCTAGTGCCTATTGTACAAGCCTGTGGGGGCAGTACTATGATCTGGGGTTGCTGCAGTTGGTCAGGTCTAGGTTCAGCAACAGTATGAGCTCAAATAATGAGGTCAGCTGACTACCTGAATATTCTGAATGACCAGGTTATCCCATCAACGGATTTTTTCTTCCCTGATGGCATGGGCATATTCCAAGATGACAATGTCAGGATTCATCGTGCTCAAATTGTGAAAGAATGGTTCTGTGAGTACGAGACATAATTTTCACACATAGATTGGCCACCACAGAGTACAGACCAACCCCATTAAGAATCTTTGGGATGTGTTGGAGAAGGCTTTGCGCAGCGGTCAGAATCTGCCATCATCAATACAAGATCTTGGTGAAAAATTAATGCAACACTGGATGGAAATCTGGAAGAAGCTTATCGAAACAAATGCCACAACAGTGCATGCTGTAATCAAAGCTAAAGGCGGTCCAACAAAATATTAGTGTGGCCTTTTTCTTTTTTTTGGTGGCAATTTTTTTTTGACCAGGCAGTGTAGATATGTGCTCATTTTCTCTCAGAGGTGTGCAGCTTAGAGTAGTTTATGTTCTGTGTGGAATCATGACAAAAGGCATTATTGACGGGCTTCGCCTGAGGCACCTGTCCATCATCGGCCACTCAACAATAGGTTTCCAGACAAGCTGTCACACAACCAGTTACCGTCTGCCTCCATCTGCTCATATTACAGTTTGAATAGTCCAAATCCGAAAGCCTTTAAGGAAGGGGAAAGTCACAGCTTTATCTTTTTTTGCTAAATTATAAGCACTCTTCCCATTATTATGCACTGAATTCTCTGTTTTATCCTGTTGGTAAGCAGGTTATGTTAATTATATGTTCCCTTTGTCTGCATCTCTGTTGTCCAGTTCTCACTGACCCATAAACCCGGGGGAAAAAAAGAAAGGCTCTGCCGTACTAACAAGCTGTTTTGTGTGGGTGTGCGGTGATTTGAGGAGGGTCGAACCTGCAGGAAACATAATCAGCTTGATGACAAAATGTCAAATCACCCCAGAGGGATTTTAGACCTCCTTCAATGAGTGGATGGAGAGTGAAGATCTGTCATTGTGTATTTTCTAATGTTTTTTTTTTCTCTGAGTTTATTTAAGCAAAGGCTCATTTTTTTCTAAAAGGAAGCTGAATCATATTTGAATTAAGCATTTTTTTTTAATCTGAGCAGCTTTTATACCTAAAATGTTTAGGCTATATTTAAATTACTTCTTAAAACCTGATGAAGCTCTTAAAAAATATATATTGTTAATAAAAGTAACAAATAGCAATTGTTGGTTTGTTTTTGTATTTGTTAAACAGCCTAAAAAGCTGAGAGGCAGCAGGAATAGATAGATATTGATTTTCTTTTTTTCCCCTCTGGGTGTAATTGAAGCTTGGCGGTTACAGAAATGAGCGTGTTATTGAAGCAGCACGACTGAGCTGGCTTTTGTTTCTGTCAGTTTTCTTACACGCTAAACACTGCAAGAAATAGTTACTATAAAAATAACTACAACTCTATGCATCATTAAAACAAACGGTAAAGATGTTCATTTTGACATATTGATAAAATATCAACACAAATCTCACTGTTGTGCTTTTCACAGCTGCTGTTTTGTCAGTCTACAGAGCAGGTTCATAACTAAATTGTGTTTTTGTACATCAGAAATAAAATAAGTCCAAAGTATAAATGCTGTATAAAAGCAGAAGTTTAACAAAAAGTGATTAAATCTTTGTGGATGTATTTGAGCTTCCCTTCTTCTTGTTTGCAGATCTTGTCTGTGATCACTTTGTTCAAACATCAGATACGTATGAAGTTTATAGATCAAACAAATTGGCCCCTGATACCGGAGAAGGTTTCTTGTGATATGCGCTCATTATACGCGTCCGGACATCACAGAGATGAGGCGTGTCCCAAAGGACAGGAGACTCCTGCTCACATTTCAGCATGGATCGTCTTTGTCCTGCTTTTTAGACATAAAGAAAAGCTTTTTTTTATTAGTAAGGGTTTAAATACAACTAAAAGAACAGAAAATGATACAGTGTCTCTTTTAGTCTATAAACAGTGCACATATTGTTTTATTGACCTGGCTGTGTTACAACAAAATGGATATTAATGCTAGAAGTTCAACTTCTAATGTAGTTTATTCCTTTGCAAATAAACAAGCAAAGTGTTTTTGCAAAGACAGAACTGTTTTTTATTATTATTATTTTTTAGTAGGATAACAGCCAATCCATTTCCACCAGTTCTGATAAAGGTGGAGACTGTTTCTTTAGCACCTATTCTTTTTTTCTATGATACGTCAAAGGATAATGAAGTGGGAGCTCTCAATCAGTCATATTTTTCTGTCTCAGTCATGCTTGCATCTCACTGAATTTCCCTTGACTAATGATTGTGCTGTTGGGCTATTAATCGAAGTAATCGGCCAAAATATTCACTCTGCTGAGGCTTTAATGTGCCACCTCCTCAAATCATCTCCCTCGTTTGGTACTTTTTAAAAGTTAGCATGAAACTTTGAAGGTTTTGTTTCTCCCCGTTTATTTTTCCTTTCGTTCTGCTTTTATCCACCTGCGTTTAATCATTTTGTAAATTAGCCTCTTTTTTTCTCACTAAATTGACTCATTCCAGAAATATGAAAACTCTCAAAGAAATTGTTTGTTTCCTCTGTACAGTAAATGCTAATTTAAAAAAGGACATATAGGGACTTTATATGGTTTAACATTTTTTTTAAAGACTTTTGTATGCACATAATTGAGATTAATTGCATTTCTTTAATAGCTACAAATGGGCTATACCTATGCATTGTAATATTTTTATGATTTTTTTTAATGCATTTGAATTCGAGGTTTTTATATGAAGATAACGGGTTATGTAAATGTGATGCGTAGCGTGGATTCTGACTCAGCATCCATGCTGTTGTTTTTCTAGTTCTAGTTTTTACAGCATGTCTTTGAACTGTAACTACTTTAGTATACTTTATATACTAGTATATACTATATATATATTATGAATGAAAATTATACATTTTTAATTATCTTGCTCGTTTTTTTTCTCCTTTCAAAACAGCTGCTTTCTGTCTCTACTCCTGGTGGCAGCAGTGGTTTGGAAGATCAAACAGACCTGTTGGGCTTCACGGCGCAGAGAAGTAAGTTCGTGATTCTGTTGAGCACACCAGACTGTCCTGGTGTTTAATTTGTAGTTTCTTTTAAACAAAATGTTCTTAGTCTAGCTGCTGCTTTGTGTCCCATTTTATCTTAAAACATTCCTAAACATGGAGAGGCATTGGCAGGGGTGCACATAGCTGGTACGCAGGTTTGCTTGAGCATCAAAAATCAGGACTGCGTAGCATCACCTGTGTTACCACACGCCTTTGCGTATTTGACCGTCAAGTTATCAACACGGTATTCCCGGTGGGCTGGTCTGATGTGTGGGCTGCAGGGCTGGCGCTCCCTGTTTTAAAAAAAAATTTTTTAAGAACTTTTTATTAACAACATTAAAACTCTGAACACCGTTACCACTGCACCTGGTCCACCTCGCCTCCACCCAGGGCTGGCGGGCGACAGTATTTTTATTTTTTTTCCTTTGTACTAGTCGGATCCACAATGCAACCTGTCAGTCAATCCAATAGGCGTGTCAGCAACTGACCAATCAACAACCTCAATTTGTCGCAAAGGTAAACGCCCCTTACCTGCAGAGATATGCAGCCCATCAGTTTTTTTTTTTCTAGAACTTTATTAACAACACAAAACAACAATGCAACAATATACAAATACAAACTTGTGGAGGGTGTCATAACTACATTTCACAAAATAAGGGGTTTTACAATATAATGAAAGAGAAAAAAATACCAAGGACAAAGCAGTACATCTGCATCATCTACCATGCAGGAAGCTGAAGCAGAGGATAGTGGGAGTGACACTGAGGAGGACAGCGAGGAAAGTGGCACTTATTAAGACAAAGCTGCATATTGTGTACCAAAAACCATCTCCTGGTACTCACCTGAGGAGCCCACTAAAAATTTATGTTCTCCCCTGGGCACTGGGTAGTTTACTGTAAGAGTTGAGTTTTAAAAACTTCCTTGCAGTCTGTGCCAACTGTGATATTTATGATTATGTTAGTAAGCTGTAAATGTATGCATCATAAGCTTCCATTCTGTTTAATTTCAGCAAAAAGATAAAACTAAGCTTTGGCTACAACTTCCCCCAAACCACTTATTCGTTTCACCTTCCTTTCCTGTGTGCGCACGTACAATACAGTAATTCGCTTTATCCTTAGAAAAGTGAAGTGGGGTTGGCGTGAAAGACAAAAGGGGCAACCATTAGTTTCAAAAGTGTTTCAGTCCAGTACAAAGCAGCTCTTTGTTCTCTGATTTCTACATTTTTATGGTTAGACAATGGTAATAATCTACCAGCAGTACTGTCGCAAATAAGAGCTGTCAGTATTTTTGTCAGTTAAGCTACTTTTTGCCATGAAGATTAGACATTCATATGCAACATGGGAGAATTAGTGCAAAGTGAACTCATTATTGTGGCAGATTTTCACCCTGTAAGTGCAACAACCCATGTTTCAGTACTTTAAATATTGCTGACAAATTCAATAATGATAAAAGTACTCAACCCCTTAGATGTTTCATGCTTTTATAGCTGTCATAAATCAGTCTTGGTCAATATAAATTAGCATTTTGTGAAAGGATATTTACCACAAAAAAAAACCCAACTTAATTGTTAAAATAATATTTTTTTTTAACAGAGTAATGCCAATTAAATAAGAAATCATAATGAAAAAAAGTGACTGTATAAATTTTCACCACCATCAGTATTTATTTCTAACATCTATGGCTGCAGTTATAGCAGAGGACAATGACTGGTAAATGATTAGTGCCTTCATGCGTAGCTTCTAAAATTCTCTAAACGCACCAGAAAAAATAGCTCGATTTGTCACTAGTCACTAAAAAAAAGGTTGCTAGAGGGGTCTGAGAACTCTAAAAATGCTAAGATGGCAACACTGCTGCCTTGGTTCATCCAGTGATGCTCATCCACGGCCAATCAACGGCTACAGTTGCTGACATCAGATCGTTTGCTCGGCTCTGCTCGCTTGGAACCAGGGCTGAGGCGGGTCTGAAATCTACGCAGGAACAGGGAAAAGAGACACAACTGGCCGATGCTGAGCTACTGCAAATTGATTCAAGTCATGTTTGTGGAGAAGCTTTGTAAGTCTCTGAGTCTTGCACATCTGTTTTCTGGAAATTAAATACAATCTTTACAAAACTGCTCAAGGTTTGTCAGGTTTCATGGACATCATGCATGAACAGCCCTTATCAAGTCGTTCTCTATTGGATGTAGGTCTGGACTTTGACCTGGCCACTCCAGAAGATTAATCTTGTTGTCTTAAATCCTGTGTAGTTTTGCTTGTGTGCTTCAACTAATTGTCTAGCTGGAAATTAAAGCTTCTCCCAAGTAGTTCCTTTATAGATAGCATCAAGTGGCCCTCTAGGATTTTCCTACATTTGGCAGCATTCATTTACTCTATCTTTACCAGCCACAATGCCAGCTGCCAAGAAGCATCCTCAAACCACAATGCTGCCACCACTATCCCCACCATCAATGGGGAGGGTAAATTTGTGATAATGTGTTGTACTTGGTTACTGCCAAACATGGGGTCTTGTCTAATGGCCCAAAAGCTCCAGTTTGGCCTTATCAGCCCACAGAACTTTGATCCATTTGACCGTTGAGTTCTCCACATGCTATCTGACAAACCCTAGTTGAGACTTTGAGAGTTGAGTGAAGAACCAAGGCAATGGTTGTTGTATGATTAATCTCTTCCACCTCACCTGCTGAAGCTTGTAACTCCTTAAAACATGGTCACACTTGTGTTGGCGGTCAGTTTGTGAGAACGTTCTGCTCTTAGTAGATTTACACATGTCCCATCTTTAGATGTAACAGAACTCCTGGGGATGTTTAGCGCTTTGGAAATTCGTTTGTATCCATCTTCTGACTTGTACTTCTCAATAATCCTTTCTCTGAGTTGCTTGGAGTGTTCTTTTGTCTTCATGGTGTAATATTAGCCAGGAATGCTGATTGAACAGTGAACAGATCCCCAGTGTTTTTACATTGCAATCACTTGAGACACATCCCATTTAACTAATTGTAAGACTGCTTGCACTAAGTGTGTGGACCTCTGTCACAATTTACATGACACTTTTTTTAAATAGACATTCCTTTGTAGAAATCAGTTTTTATCTTGTCATTGACTAGGGTTTTATTTTTATTGTTTGGTCAAAACGACCAATTTATACAAACCATGATGAGTTATAATAAAAGAGTAAACCTAATTGAAATTTATTATTTGACACAGTTTAGACCAGTGGTTCCTAATGCAAGCGTAATTGGGATGCATTGGTAGTTTGGGGTGTGTCACAAAACACCAAGTTGGAGGTCTTGAAATGATCTCCAGAAAAAAAACCCAACTACTAGTATATTTCAACTAAACATGTTACAATAGATAGAAAGAGTTGTCATAATAACAAATCCTGACAATCCAACATTTTTAGAGACAAAACTCAATGCATGTTTCCAACAAAATTCAGTCAGGTCATCTGGATGTTTTTTTTATTTATTTATTTTTTTAATGAGATGTTCCATCCTTCATCCAAAGGACTTCATCAGTCCAAGGAGCCACAAACGAACTCAGTCCCACAAGCAGCACACTCCCATAGTGGGCCAACCACTATGTGACTGTGCTCTTTGTTGGATTTTTTTACCTGAATTATTGAGCATGAACTTGGATGCTTGGAACCACTTTGTCTATGGCTGCCTCAGAGGAGTCAACGGGGGACAGGGCGGGCCCCAGAAACCATCTTATCACCAGCAAACTGGTCGGTCCACTATGAGAGTGTACTGCTTGTGGGACTGAGTTTGTTATGGCTCCTTGAACTGATGAAGTCCTTTGGCTGAAGGATGAAACGTCTCAACAACAACAATAAATAAAAAAAAACATCCAGATGACCTGACTGAACATTGTTGGATTATTACCTGGATCATTGAGCATGAACTTTGATCAATGAATGTTCTGAAAGATAGACAGATTACAAAACCAATACTGTTTATATCTTCTTGTTTGAAATTAACTCCGTAAATCAAGAGCATAGGAAGCAATAAATTCTTGGTCTGATACCTGACGGTCACAACTACGCTAAGGATGTAATTGATTAAAACTGCAACGGTCAGTTTAAACTGAGTGTAAAACAACACTGGAGAAATTATTGAAGGTGTACATAAATATGCCTAAGCGAGGAGTTATGGCAAAAATCTTAAAGTGAAAAATGAAGTCTTTAATTCTGACGGGAGCTTTGCGTTCTGTCATCATTTTATTGTAATTTAAAAACATGCCTATTTGTGAGCTGTCATTTTTTTATTAGGTGATAAATCATCACTCATTAAATTGTAAGGGATCATTCCTTTGCTTTGTGGTGTAAAGCAAAGGGGGAGCTGGTGCATTAATCGCGGACAGTGCTCCTGCAAAGGCTGACTTGGGTTCAAGTCAAAAGTGGTAATTTGAGATGCAATAGTAGTTCGGACTTTATTTACAATTTAAGGTTTAAATTGATATTAATATGTTTAAAAATAAAAGCTACATTTTATTCAAAACACTGACACACAATCTTTGTAATTAGCAGAGTAAACTTTGAGCGCTGGGGTTACAAACAGTACAAACAGCACACTTCATTAAACATGCTCCTTTCTATGGTTATAGTATTAATTTCCTAAGAGTAATTGTTTGTATTTTGCTTATATAACTGGGCATGTTCATCCATCTATGGTAATTAGAGACAAATGGTCTATAGTAATAGTCGTGAGCATTTGTTGTCCTAGTACAACAAACAACACGTCCATGAGTTATTTCTTGTTGGAAATAAAAACAAACAAAGGATGGATTAGAGAAGACAAAATGAAATCATATCTAAATAATATCTGTTTCCTCAGGAAGCTGTTATTGTTATGAAAAAATAAAAGAGAAAACTAAAAATGATGAATGAAGTTAGGTACAGGTTTAAATTTAATGGATTAGTGGGGAAAAAGATTGAAGGAAGCAAGAAAAATATGAATGAAAAGGGAGACGGCATATTAATCATTAATATTCAGTGTT